CCTTGTTTTAACTCTCTCATAGAGTTAACATAACAGTATCACAGACCACAGAGGTCATCTCGTTGTAAGAACCAAATGAGATAATGGATGCAAAGTGCTTTGTGTGAGAGAGATAAATGTTAGACTGGATATGAGAATGCATGTTCATTTCCTGATCTTGAGTTAATTTTTCTGTTCCTGATTTTACTGTTTAAAAAAATCCAAATTGGGCCCAGTGGGCAAAGATAAGGTCTTCATGTTCATTCAGAATGCAAAGGTCATACAACTCAAACCAAGAATGTCCTGCTTGGGTAAAGCAAATACTGAGTGCTCTGGTTGCTAAATGATAAACTGAATGGGCCACTACAAGTTGTGGGCTGGAAAACCCTATTACAGATGATGGTGCTAGAACTGGATTTGGTTAGAAGGGCATACAGTTAAACAGAAGAAGCAGTGCTGACTTTGGAAGCTGAACATTAGAGTTGGAGCCCTGACTTTCCAACTGGGTCATCATTAGCAAGTCAAATGACCTCTCTCAGTATCTGTTTCCTCATCTGTAAAATGGAGAGTATCATCCTTATACTATCCACAACAGTGCTGCAATGAAGAAAGTTCTTTTGTAAACTCTAAATAAGTTTCTATAGAAATGGGAAATATTACAGTTATTAGAGTTTTCCTTGTAATGTACTAAACCTTAACATAACTGTTTGCTTGATCGTCCACATAGAGAGCCCAATTATGGCCCTACTAAGGTCTAAAGGCTGATTAATGATTTTCTGGATTACCCAGGCCTCCTCACCCCCACTCCTATACATTTCTGCCAATCCAGTTCCAAAACTTACTACCTATGTGACCTTGAATGAGTCACTTAAGTCTATGAGTCCCATTAATCCCATTTGACAGGAGGAGAAAATGAAGGTGCAACTTACCTCACAGAATTATTGTTTTTTAAAAATACTTTGTATACTATATGTACACATACACATACGGGCATAGAAATGTGCTATTATTAGTATTAGAGAAGCAGTTTGGCATCATGGAAAGACAGCTGGACTTAAAGCCAGGAAGACCTGAGTTCAAGACCCACCTTGGACATATACTATGTGACCCTGGGCAATTCCTTTAACCTCTCAGTGCTCTAGGGAATTCTCTAAGCCCATCTGTTGCAGAAAAGGTACCAACCTACAACTCTGGAGTTTCCTTACCAGGGATTTCCCAATACTAATGAAGTGACAGTTCCTATCCCTGGTCCCTATTATTAGTAGTGAATTTATAGCTTAGGGTGCTTCCACTAGATATGGGCAAGGAAGAAGTTAAATAAAACAAAACAAAACTTAATTCAAAGAATCCACAATCTCATCAGCATGGTTATTCCCCCTACTCGGAGAGATTTCAAACTTCTCATTCTAAGCAATTACTTTCAGTCTTTCTGTAAAACCCCAATACAAGATACTGCTAATGAAAGGCACTGTGGGCCTTCTGGGTTTTAGGGTTTTTTTGTAAACATCATTATGGATAGCATTACCATGGCCAAGTCAGACTACCTCCTTATCCATGCAAACATCATTATTAAAAGAAGAAAAGAAAACATAAGTGTGTTTAATTATAATACTTGCAAAAGATAATATCTAAAAATTCTATGATTCTACAAGGGAGGAATCTGTGACTTGGCTAATATAAGGTTTTGGGATTATTAAGGATTTCATTTATTCACATTATCTGGATACCCCCCCTCCCCTTAATGTGGATTGGTTGTAAACACAATGTTTCCCAGGCAATAAAGTCTCTCCCTCTTGAGGGGAAATCCAGGGTAAGAAAAACATCAGAAACACCCACTGGCTTTGGAAATGCAGCTGGGTAACCACACCCTACCTCCCCTCAACCCCCAGCTACTCCCACTCCTCATTCCATCCCACCCACGTCTGGAAAAAGTCCACTTGTAGGACTCTCAGCTGCCTTCCCAAACATGGTACCAAAATGTCCAATATGAGTGGCAGTGCCTCTGCCTAAATCCATTCTCTCCCAGGCCCTCTGAAAACCTATTTGTAGACGGCAGCATTTTGGTGACAGTTGGGCTGGAGGTGGCTTTGTAAACAAGTATTAAATAAAAGAGAAGTGGCAGCAGGTGCTCCCATTTCTTGCCCCTCCCTGTTTTTCCTTATCCCCCTCCTTCCCCCAGACTTCACTTCCACTCCACCCCCACCCATGGAATACAACATCTGCTGCTGCATTGCAAGAATGGAAACATCTGAGGGCTTCTGAAAGTCAACAATGGCTCCATCTGCCACAGGCAGGCGGATTTATTTAGTGGGCCAGAAGGCCTGCTCGGTGACAGCTGACTCACTGGTTGCCACAGTAACCATGATGCCAAAATTTAAATCGGCACTTTTCTGAAGTATTTCTGATAATGCCAGGAGGGGCTTCCCTGCAGGATGGCATCATGACACAGGGATGCCCATTAATTATTTCTGTTCTGGTTTTTAACCATCTCTATCTTCTTTGTAACCTTCTAACTGAAATCATCATCAATTGACTTAGACTTAGTTGGTACCTTGGAGATCACTGAAGGCAACCTTCCCTTTTCACAGAGGAAGAAAATGAAGCCCAGAGAGGTGAAGTGACTTGCCCACAGTCACACTGGTACTAAGTATTTGGGTCCAGGGATGGGATTTGGGTCCAGACCCTCTGACACCATAGCCAGTACTCTTTCCACTGGATTACTACAATCAGTAGCTGTTGCCAATAATATTGATGAGGGCACCTCTCTTCCTCCTCCTCCTCCTCCTCTTCTCTCTCCCTCTTTCCCTTTTGCTCTTCCTCTTCCTTCCTCTCTCTCTACCTCCTTCCTCCTCTCTCTTTTTCTTTCCTTCTTCCTCTATGTTTGTGTCCCTCTCCCCCCTTCCCTCCTTTCTCTCTACCTCCTTCCTCCTCTCTCTTTTTCTTTCCTTCTTCAACTATGTTTGTGTCCCTCTTCTCCTCTTCCCTCATCCCTCATCCCCCTTCCTTTCTTTCCTTCCCTCTCTGGGTGGTCCTTAAGTCGATTATAAAAGCAGAGCTAACTCAAGTCTCTGGGCCAATGTTTCCTAATTCGGTCCTTGAGCTTGTAACTGTGCTAATGAGATGAACAGCAGGAGAGCAAAAAGATCAGCCAGACTCCTCTGTAGCAAAGGAGAGTTACTCTTACAAGTCTGGTAACCTGGGTGGCTTTTCCTTTGGCCCATCGTCTGTACTGTGTATGTGTGTCCCTGGAGAGTGATGGACCTTTATAGCAAAGTGATGAAGGTCTTAAGGTGTAGCATACACCAAAGAGCTGGGCAGTGATGACCCTGTGTCACAGGGGCAGCAACACCTGTGTCCTTGACAATACTTTCTGATATCAGGCCTGCCTGAAACAGAGGGAGCCAGATCCTGGCAGTCTGAGGTTGAAGGGTCCTGCAATAGTGTCCTGCAACCCTTCAAAGTGAGACAAGTGCCTTTTAAGAAGCAAAGCCCAGAGCAGGCTACATGTTAATTTAGTGAGCCAAACCATCACTCAGGAAGGCCACGGAGGAACACAAGAGGTCACATGACAACAACAGCAGCAACAGTAACAACAATTATAATGATGATGCTGACAGCTGCCATTTATAATAACACTGCTCTAAGTGCTTTACAAGTATTATCATCTTTGTACAAACATATTTCTATCATACAGGTATTATAAATCACAGACTTAAAGTGGGAAGAAACCTCAGAGGGCATCAGAAGCACAACATGTGAAAATGCTTTTAAAAGTGAAAAAGACTATGAAAAGGTAAAGCATCCTCATCATCAGGCAGCATGGTATCATGGAAATAATAATAATAATAATAATAATAATAATAATAATAATAATAATAGCTAACAGTTATATACAGCACATAGCATGTGCCTGGTAGGGCAGTGGATAAGAACTCTGGCCCAGGAATCAGGAGGACCTGAGTTCAAATCCAGCCTCAGACACTTACTGAGTGACCCTGAGCAAGTCACTTAACCCTCTTTGCCTCAGTTTCCTCATCTGTAAAATGAGCTGGAGAAGGAAATGGCAAACCCCTCCAGTATCTTTGCCAAGAAAACCCCCAATGGGGTCACAAAGAGTTGGACATGAATGAAAAATAACTGAACAACAAATGTGCCAGGCACTGGGCTAAGCATTTTACAAATATTATGTCATCTGATCCTCCCAACAGCTCTGGGAGGTAAGTGCTATTATTAACCCCATTTTACAGACGAGGAAATTGAAGCAGACAGAGGCTAACTGACTTGCCCAGGGTCACATATTTACTAAGTATCTGAGGCTGGAATTGAACTCATGTCTTTGTGACTCCAGGCCTGGTACTCCATCCACTAGGCCGTCTAACTGCCTGGATTTAAAGCACTGGGTTTTGAATCAGGAGATCAGAGTCTGAATCCTAGCTCTGACACATCATAGTTGTGTGATCTCAGGCGAGTCACTTCTCTGCCCCAGGTCTCGGTCTTCCTATCTGTGAAGTATGGCTAATAAAAATGTGTATTACTGACCTCACGGGAGTAATGTGAGGAAAGCACTTATGGTGCAAATTTGCTTTTTGGTCCAGACCTGTGATATCATCTCCATCAGGGTCCCCCTACCAAAGCAGAGCAACAATTTTTCTGCAGCAGATAAATCTGAAGAGAGTTGCCTGGGGCAATGATGTGTGAGGTGACTTGCCCAGAGTCTCACAGCCAGAATATGTGAGAAGTAGAACTTGAATCCAGGTCTTCCTGACCTAGAGGCCAGCTCTCTATCCCATGATACCATGCAATGTGAATCACCATTATCATTCTTTTTTTTTCTGGAACTCAATCAATTAAGTTCAATTCTTGCTGCCTGGCTCCATATCCATCAACCCACTTTGGATTCATTATTAACCAGGAGACCATTGAAGGTAACTGGATTTCCAGCAGCCGACAGAGCTCAGTCCCTATGGCTTTGGTGAATAAGACCGTGAATGAGCCTGGCGTCCTGCCAGCCTCTCACTCACCGTGGTGATGAACCTGTACAGTGGCTGTCGCCGCTCTGTGTACTTCACCGTGATGGGGCTCAGGTCATAGCGAAACCAAATGGCAGGGATGATGCGACCAGTGTGACTGTAGGCAACATATTCCTAAGGGAGGAAGAAAAACAGACGAGACCAGGAAACGAGAATCAATTTTCGTGAGATAAGGTAGAGGATTTCTAAATGACTATTTTGCCGGATGAGTGACTCCTCAGAAGCTTTCTCACTCCCATCCACCATTTCTTTCATCTCTCCTTTGAATGCCTGGTGACTGAGTTCTCTTGCCAGCCATTGCATGGGCAAGACCTAAGGACCCTGCTTGTATGTTCTTAGAAGCTGACCAACAGCTCCTGGCACCCAAAATACTATTGAGACAGAGGCAGGAACGAGCAGCAAAGATACCAAAGGAAAAAACAGGTGGATTGCAGGTCAGGCAGAGAAGATGGGAAGCTTCTCACTCCCAGCCCGAGTCAGACATGACAACAACAGCAGCAACAGTAACAACAATTATAATGATGATGCTGACAGCTGCCATTTATAATAACACTGCTCTAAGTGCTTTACAAGTATTATCATCTTTGTACAAACATATTTCTATCATACAGGTATTATAAATCACAGACTTAAAGTGGGAAGAAACCTCAGAGGGCATCAGAAGCACAACATGTGAAAATGCTTTTAAAAGTGAAAAAGACTATGAAAAGGTAAAGCATCCTCATCATCAGGCAGCATGGTATCATGGAAATAATAATAATAATAATAATAAATAATAATAATAATAATAATAATCATAGCTAACAGTTATATACAGCACGTAGTATGTGCCTGGTAGGGCAGTGGATAAGAACTCTGGCCAGTTGGAAAGAGTGTCAACAGAGAAGGATCTAGGTCAGCAAGGGAAGATAATAGATTTAATCCTGTCTTTTTAAACCCAGGAGAATCATGATGGTGATAAGGATGTGCTGGGTTTGAAGTGGGGTGATCTCAACCTTCAAATCTTTCCCCCTCCACCTCCCAATCTTACAGTGGGGCAGCTGGCCTCTACAGTCGCTTTCAGATCTGATATCCTATGTCCAAAGACTAGTCGTCTGGATAGCCATACTTGTGCATCTACTCAGTCAATGAACTGAGAAGGAAGAATTAGTAGTGTCCAGGTTTAGACAGCAACAACAGAACAACTCCCCTAAACCTCTTTTCCACCTTTGAAAGTTACAGACCGAAGAACTGCCTTTTATCACTCTACGTTTTCCTACCCCTAATGCGCAGAGCAGCCCTAACAATGTGGCCCTGGCTCCTAGAAATGTCAACAGCAGTTAAGCAAGCTGGCCTGCCTGAAGAGCACTTTCAAAAAGGTCTCGGGCCCAAAAGCTTTATCAGTGCTTGGTGACACTAAACAGACTAAATTCTACCCTGTGAGGCAACTGTAGGGGAGGGTGGTCTCTTTGGCTACGGCACAGGGAAAACCAAAGAACAGGAAAGGAGCTGCACTCAGGGACCAGCTGTGAGCCAACAGGACTGAAGCCTGCCTAATCACAGTCATCCCTGCAGGCCTCTTAGCCTATATGCTGCGCTGTTACCCTCCTCCTGACACCCTGCTATAAAGGCAGGTACCTGGGACCATGTGGAACAAAACGTAGAAGTGTGCCAGGCAGAAAGCTAGCCCTGGAGAAGTGAATGCTCATCAACTGAACTGAAACTGTCTGACTTCTGGAGAGTTGGAGCCACGGTCTGTGGTAGGGCAAAGCTGGGTGAGGATTTAGGATGGCATATGTTAGAACCTGAAAGGACCTTAGATTTTTCAATCTATTCCAAACCTTCTGTTTTATAGATGGAGAAGCTGAGGCTCAGAGAGGGGAGAAAGGGACTTGCCCACTAATGTTGTGGCCAGACTGTACCTCATTCACCAGAAGGTAGGATATTAGGAGAATCGTTCCCCTCCAACACCTCCCCCTCAAGTCTGATGCAAGGATCTCTGATTGGCAGATGGATAGAGATTAAAGCACACAGGAGTGACAAACACAATCAGAAGGGATGATGTATGCTGATATTAGAGGGGCTGAGCAATTTAGTCTAAACAACAGAGGTCAAAGAGGTGACCTCCTTGCTGTTTCTAAACACACAAAGAAGCTTTATGAGGAGAAAAGACTAGCAGTTGTTCTCTGTATCCAAAGAAGACATGAACAATAGGAAAGAGTCTTACATTAAAACAGGATAGATTTGGGTTGATCATGGTGGGGTGAGTTGGGAGTGTTAGCAACTGGAATGGATTTCCCTGAGGATCTTTAAGAAAAACTGAAACTAACCGACTATCTCTACTTAACCGTCCAGTCTAGCTCCAGAATGCTATGAAATAATTATTGATAGGAAAATGTCAAACTATCTTTGGGATAGTTGAGAAATGTTTTTTGAATGAATTTCATGAACTTGGAACAGTGACCTGGCGCATAAAATGGAAAGGCTGACCTTTACTTACAAAAAAGCATCCAGTTATGGATGGCCTAGAGGAAAAAAAAATCAAAAGCAGTAGGTGATCCCAAAAGCCATACAAAGAACAGCATTCAAATTCAACAAGCATTTAAGTGCTTACTATATACAAAGTAAAACATTATGCTAAACTGGGGGAAATAAAAGCTGAGACAAAATAATTTCTGTCCTCGAGAAGCTTATAGACTGAAAAAGGGGAGAATATAAAATGCAATATTATATAAAGGGATTAAAGAAATGAGCAATGTATCAGATCAGAGGAGGAAGGCTACTACCAAGGTTGGAGGTGGTGGTAATTAGGGAAGGAATGGGGCAAATTTCATTGAGGAAGTGGCAGAAAATCAATAAACAAAAGTATGTCATTCCAGGTAGCACAGGTCACTAATGATTCTAGGACCCCTCCAGACCTTAGGTTTAATTTGGGGTGTCCAGGGTAAGTATAGTTGAGCAAATGCAGCCTGAAGACACCATTAGCACATTCTCTACCGAACCAAGGAGATACCATAAATCAGACAGAAAACCAATTAATTGGAGCAGACTAATCAAGTAAATAAAAGATAAAAATAAAGTGATAAGACTATTTCTTAGCTTAGTGAAAGAAGGGAATTATGAAATAACACTAGACATATAAGAAGGTGCCAAACTGTATAAATCTGAACACTAGGCAATAGTGAGCCACTGATGATTGCTGAACAGAGGGGGATCATGACTCTAGAGCTACGCTTTTTGATGCATATGATCAATGCACTTTTCTTCTTCACATCATCTAGATCAGGGGTGGGGAACCTGTGGCCTCGAGGCCACATGTAGCCTTCTAGGTAAGTGTAGCAAATCCCCTTAATAAAATGATTTGTTCTGTGAAGTATGGTTTCAATCAAAGGGCTACACTTGAGGACCTACAAGGAGGCTACATGTGGCCTTGAGGCCGCAGGTTCCCTATCCTTGATCTAGGATCTACCATAGCTTTGAGAAGATAGAAACAAATTGAGTTAGGCTCAACTTCCAGGTTTAGATTTTCTGATTTAAAAACTAGGTAATTAATGGCCCCAGATCTAACAATACTATCTTCTAAAAGGAGTGAGTGGCTTCTGAGAAAGCCATGTCTTTCTCAAATCCACGTTCATTCAGCTCAGTTTCAGCTTTAGAATCCACACTGTGTACCCTAATGCAAAACATCGAATAATCTCACGTATCATCTATGCTGACATTTAAGGGTACCACTGACAAATAAGAGGTAGACCTCATAACATGGAGTGGGCATCAGACGCTTCTGTGTCTGGGGTCAGAAACATCCAGCAGTTTTTATCTTGTCATGTCATGGAGACAAAGAATCATAGATTTAAGAGTTAAAAAGCATATTAGTGGTCATCCAGGCCAAACCCCTCATTTGCAGCTCAAGAAAGAAAAGTGATTTGTCAAACTCACAAAGGTAGGAAATGGCAGGGCTGGCATTCAAATCCAAGTCTTCTGCCTCCAAAACTGAATGCTCTTGCCATTATACTACAATGGGAGCAGAAATCCTCAAAACCAGTAGATGGACTTAAACCAAAAAATCTATATGGAAAATAATTTGATGTTCTGGGTTTGTTCCTGCTCAACAGTGTAAGAAAATACATTGGTTCGGTTTAAGAAAGGACGAGGTAGTAGAAAGAGCATTAGCCTGGATGTTAGGAGACCTGGGTTCAGATCCCAGGTTTGAGAAATTAAAAATGAAAAGGTTGGACTACGTGATGTCAAAGGTGCCTTCCAATCTTGACAACTGTTTTAGGTGGTATTGGTGGTGTTCTGGGGGAGTGGAATAGAGAGGGAAACTTTGATACGGTTCCTAGTTCAGATAAAAACCAAACACATAAATATGAAGTATATACAATATTTTATATACTATCATATTTAGGATACATTATATAAAATGTTATATTTAGGTAACATATTATGTATAAATATATAATACATAGCAGTGTATAAATATACAGTATGTAACATTTTATAACTATTATAGAAACATACAATATATAAGTGTATAAATATATATTATATAATATTTTATAAATACTGTATAAACACAATATATAGTTTATAAATACTGTATAAATGCATAATAGCTTATAAATATAGAATTTACAATGTTGTAGGTTATATAAATATAGCATATAATAAATATATACTACATACTACTGTATAACTACACACTGTATATTATCCATCCATCCATAATATATTTATATAATATGTAAATATTTTAAAGCTCGATAGACATTTGGGCTTATAAGAACAGTTCATGCTAGGTTTTTTGGTAGAGGAAGGAACACTGGACTTGGAATCAGAGGACTCTAGGCTTTTCCATTTATTAGCTGTGTGACAGTGAGTAGGTCATTTCCCTTCTCTCTGCCTCAGTTTCCTCATCTCTAAGATGAGGGTGCTGGGCCGGATGGACGCAGAGGTTCCTTCTAGCTCTCAATTGATTGTGCTCTATAACATGCATTGTCCCTGCTGGCAGCAGCCATAGATCTTATTGATTTAGAAATAATTTGGGTGTCTTGTGCCTCTCTGGATCCTCACATGGCTCGGGACCCGCAGGGGCTCCACTTTTTTCAGTTCATTACACTGAACTTCCTGGAGGGCTTCACTGGCCCTTCTCCACAACTGGACCCATCAGCAGCTCAACTCTTATGCTCCTTTCTCTGCCAGCAGAGGCCGCAATAGTACACTTTTAGAATGCCTGTGCATTAACCAGCTCGGTGAGAGCAGAAAGAAAAGGAAATTTAATGACTGAGAGGCCAAGGGGGTCTTTCCCCAGACCTCCACTGACCTTATTGGCTACCGTGTATTGGTATGAGTACCGCTGTTTTCCACTCTTATCTTCGTACACCGTGGGGACGATCTTCAAGATGTAATCATGGGATGCAAGGGCTGCCAGAAAGATGAAATAAGGAGTACTATTAAGAAAGTTAGAGTTCTGCTTCCTATAATTAGAGAAAATGTGTGTGTGTGTGTGTGTGTTCGTGTGTGTCCGCACTCTCCAGCCTTATATTATGCCTAATTCACTCTGTGACCTTAGGTTCCTCTTCAGTAAAGTGGGGATAATGATGTCAGCCAACTTAATTTTATCCCCTAAATTAACCCAATTAATAAAAACCACTAAAGCTTGTACAAATAGAAAACACTGAAGTCCTTTAAGTGGTTGCTAAATTAGAAATGATTTGGTAGCACTCAGAGTTAGCCACTAAGGATTAATGTTCCCAAATTCTCTTCACTATAGTCACTTTCCTCCATACCTACTCCACCATATAACCATATAACAGGATAAAAAGCTAGAAGAAACTACAGAGAACATCTAGTCTAATCTCATCTTACAGATGAACAAACTGAGGCCCAGAGAAATGACTTGCCCAAGGTCACACAGCTACTAAATAAATAAATAAGTAAAAGGGCTGAGCCCAGGTCTTCTGGTTCTGAATGCTCTTTCCACTCTACCACAATGGTTATCATGGTTCTTCTGGTTTTTCCCAGACAGATCCTTGAAACATTAAACTAAGAAACTAGGAAGTTCAGTAGGAAGTGATTAGAGAGGCACTTTCTTTACCTCCTCGGCTTGATTTTATCTCCCTAGTTTTAATCTAATCCAAGCAAACCTAAACACTCTAAAACATTTTTCCCCCACAGAGAATTTTGCATAAGGAAGGTTTACCGTGGATCCTACAAAAGGGATTTTAGCTACTGAAGCATTTACAAACTATCCTTAAAAGCATCTCATTTAAAGTGGCCATGGTAGGTGGCATTCCTTGTCACTTGGGTACTTTGTCTTGGGCTGGAAATTTGTTTCACTCTGTCTTTTTGTGGGTTCTGCTGCTTCAGAATTTGTTTAGAGCCATTTTTTATGAGTACTTGGAGGGGTTTGGGGGAGAGCTCAAGCAAGTCACTGCTTTCACTCCGTCATCTTGGCTCCGCCCCTCCACTTGGGTACTTTGAAGAAACCACAAATGTGCCAAAGGATCTGTGGTCTCATCACTGTGGATGACCCCTCCAGTGGGGCAGAATCTCTCACCATGTGGGATTTCAGTCCACTTCCTTCCGTAAAAGTCACTATTCAGGATCTGTTAGGAGCCTTCCTCTAGATGAAGGGTTCTTAACCTCTTTGGTGTCATAGATCCCCCTTTGGTAGTCTGGTGAAATCTATGGAACCCTTCTCAGAATAATTTATTTTTTTTTTGGATAGGTAATATTGATCTGTATTTTTTTTATTAATTTATTTTGATTTATCAATAATCACTTCCATAAGCTTTCCAGTTTTAAATTTTTCTCCCCCTCCCTCCCCAAGATGGTGCGCAATCTGATATAGGCTATACATATACATTCCTATTAAACATATTTTTACATTAGTTATGTTGTAAGGAAGAATTAGAACCAATAGGAGGAAGCACCAGAAAGAGGAAACAAAACACAACAGAAGAAAAAAAAATAGCAAATAGTATGCTTCGATCTGCATTCAAACTCCATAGTTCTTTCTTTGGATGTGGACAGCGTTTTCCATCATAAGCCTTTGGAGATGTTTTAGATCCTTGTTATTGCTGAGAAGGGCTAAGTCTATCAATGTTAGTCATCGCACAAGGTGGCTGTTACGGTGTACAACGTTCTCCTGATTCTGCTCACTTCACTTAGCATCAGACCATACAAATCTTTCCAGGTTTTTCTGAAATCTGACTGCTCATCATTTCTTATAGCACAATAGTATTCCATTACATTGACATACCACAACTTGTTCAGCCATTCCCCAATTGATGGGCATCCTCTCAATTTCCAATTCTTTGCCACCACAAAAAGAGCTGCCATAAACATTTTTGTACATGTGAGTCCTTTTCCCATTTGTATGATCTCTTTGGGACACAGACCTAGACATGGTATTGCGGGGACAAAGGGTATGCACATTTTTATAGCCCGTTGGGCATAGTTCCAAATTGCTCTCCAAAATGGTTGGGTCATTTCACAACTCCAGCAACAATGCATTAGTGTTCCAATTTTCCCACATCTTCTCCAACATTTATCATTTTCCTTTTTTGTCATGTTGGCCAATCTGTTAGGTGTGATGTGGTACCTCAGAGTTGTTTTGATTTGCATTTCTCTAATCATTGACGATTTAGATCATTTTTTCATATGACTAAAGATGGCTTTAATTTCTTCATCTGAGAACTGCTTGTTCATATCCTTTCACCATTTAGCAATTGGGGAATGATTTGTATTCAGAACATTTTTAAAGGTATAAAAAAAAATAAAATACATAGGATTATAAAGGAAACCAATTATATTGAAATATGGTTATCAAAATGATTTTTAAAGAAATACCAAATTCTCATACCCTAGATTAAGAATCCCTTTTCTATGTCTCATTTATTTATTTATTTTTTGCTGTTAACATATTGAGTTTACTATGGCCAACACCATTCAGGTCTTGATCACCCTTTGAGTCACCCCCAATTTTAATTCTCTGAAGTCCATGGTCCTAGGATTCATAACTATATAGCAATACTAGAAGAATGTTGATGCTGGTGGATTTTTGAGTCAGAGATTGGTTGCTGAGTCTTAGCATCTTTTACCCATTTCCACCACTCCAAAATGGTAGAGTGGAATGTCGTAAATATTTTATGTATCCTTATCTTACATGTTGTCTTCCCAATAGAATATAAACTCCTTGAGGACAAGGATCATTTCATTTTTGTCTTTGTATCTCCAATAAGTGCTTAATAAATGCTTATTGATTAATTCATTGACCTAGGTGTGAATCCCAGTTCTGCCACTTGCAACCTTGGGTATAAGTGCTTAACCTTTCTGAGTCTCAGTGTTCTTAGCTGTAAAATCAGGAAGGTTGCTCTAAACCTGTGATCATCTCATCACTGCTGAAGGAGAAGGGGATAAGGTGAGGCTCAGGACCACTTCTGTTGGACTGCATTGGCTGAAGGAATGATCACCTCCTGGCCAGTGTATGGGTTTGGCTGGTCCTTGAAAAGCAGACACAGTACACAGTAACAGCCATGTTGCACGATGACTAACTTTGATAGACTTAGCCCTTCTCAGCAATGCAAAGATCTAAGACATCTTCAAAGGTATCAGGTTGGAAAATGCTGTCCATACCCAAAGAATGAACCATGGAGTCTGACTGCAGATCGAAGCATGCTATCTGTTCTTTCTTTTTGTTTTGTTTTTTTTTCCTCTTTCTTGTGGTTCCTTCTATTGGTGCTAATCCTTCCTTACAACATGACTAAGGTGAAAATATGTTTAAAAAGAATGTATATGTATAGCCTATATCAGATTGCATGCTGTCTTGGGGAGGGAGGTAGGGAGAGAGAGAAAAATTCAAGACTCAAAAGCTTATGGAAGTGATTGTTGATAAATCAAAATAAATTAATTAAAAAATACTTATTAAATTAAAAAAATATGCAAACTTTAAAGTGCTACAGAGGGCATCCCTAAATTCACAAAGCAGTTTTAAGCTTTAATTGCCATCATCATCATCATTCAGGTGCTATGGGGGACCTTGGGCTGGGCTCAGAATTGGATAATAATAATAACTCACATTTCTCTAGCTTAGTGGTTCTCAAATTTTCTGGCCTCAGGACCTTTTACACTATTAAGAATTATTGAGAAACCCTCCCCCAAAGTGCTTTTGGTTATGTGAGTTATATCTATCAATATTTACTATATAGCGTTTCACTTCTCAATGAGGGGGGAGAGGAAGGAGACAGGGAATCGGAAACAACTTTTAAAAATGAATGTTAAAAATTGTTTTTACATGTATTTGGGAAAAAATAAAATAAACATTTTATTTATTTAAAAAAGTATTAAAAAGAACTACTAAAAAAAAAAGGCAGACAGAGACTGTCACTGGGTGTGTGCTCCAAGCCTCTGAGCCTGGCTCAGCAGAACCTGACAGCCTCTGCTTCACGAGTACACTCTTTTAGAACCCAGGGTCACCTCCACGCTATGCTAAAGCATCAGAGCAGCTCCTTTTGGGGAGGAGCCCTGCTTGCTAGAATTAAACCCATTTGTAGTCACTACAAACAGGACTCAAGACCCAAAGACCCAAATCTCTGGAAAACACTTTACAAAAGGTGTTGAAACAATGAGTCAGGAGTTTTCTTTTGCGAGGACACATAATGGAAGAGTGGAAAAAACAGTGGACTTGGGAGCTGGAGAAAGTGGGTTTGATTCCTAGCTCAGGTATTTACTGATTATGTGACCTGAGGCAAGCCACTGAATCTCCCTGAACCTTACTTTCCTTCCTGTAGAATGGGGATAATGATATCTGCTCTGCCTACCTCACAGAGTGGTTCTGAGGGAAGCATATTCTAAACTTCCAAGTACCACAGAAATACAAATTCTATCACTTAGATAACAGATTTCAAGCTAGAAGGGACTTCTGAGTCCAGCTAGTTCAAACCTGTCATTTTACAAGTAAGGAAACTAAGGCCCAGAAGGCCCAAATGACTTGCCAAAGGTCACAAAGATAGCAGGCATCAGAGAGGGGGTTTGAACCCAGGGCCTCTGACTCCACTATGGCATTCCCTCCCCCATACCACATTGCCTCTTCTCCCTTAGACTGAAGTTTCTACCATGCTTTCACACATAGGGTGCCCCAATCTCTCCCACCCACTTCCAGCTGCCTTCTCAGTCCCATGTCCCCCAGTCTGCCTAATAAACAGGGAAGGGCAGAAAAAGTTTTATCATCTTCTTTATTCTTCTACCCACAGCACTTAGCACAAGGCAAGAATCCTGTAAGAAATGACTTTAACAAATGTTTCCTTTGTACTCTGTATATAGAGCTTTGCACCAGACGCTAGAAGCCATAAGATCACAGGCCCATAGATCTCTCCAAAGAAAGGTCTCAGAGGCCATATGGTCCAATCTCTTCATTTTATAGATGGAGTCACACAGTTAGGAAGCTTCAGAGAATGAATTTGAACCGAGGTCTCTGAAGCCAGAAATAAAACAGACAATAGTCTCTAATCTAAAGGAGCTCATAATTGTTAGAATAAAAAGAATATTGGCTGGAGATGGTTTTGGGTCCTAACACTGACCAAGGCATGAGGGCCTTCTTTCAGGCTCTAGTATTCTTTCAGTGATGAGGTTGGACTGGGTGATCCCTAAAGTGCCTTGAAGCTCCTAACATTCTATATTTTACATGCCAAGGTGAAAATTCTCGCTCAAGGTACAAAGCAGAAAAGCCTGGCCTTTTCTGGGAAAGAATGAGATGCAGGGACAGCTCAGTGGATACAGCACTGGCCCTGCAGCCAGGAGGACCTGAGTTCAAATCTGGACTCAGACACTTTGACCCTGGCCATGTCACTTAACCTTGATTGCCTAAAAAAAAAAAAGAAAGAAAAGGGAAAGAATGAGATGTTCAGTTGTCCAGGCTATTTGCTATGCATGGCAGCAGCCTTGAGGGAAGGGAAGGAACCCATACAATGCAGCTGCTCTCACAGACATACTGTAGCCTCAGGATGGAACACCATTCTGCTGACTAAGAGCTCCAGGGACAAGAATTTTAAAAATGTAAAGAAAGCCAGAGGTTAGCAACAGGAGGGAAGAAGAGGAAGTTGGCAGACAAGGTTAAGGCTATCTCTCTGGGGCCGGTTGGGCAGATTTTCAAAATGCCAGACTACACTTTCCATTATGGAAAACGTAAAGTCCTCTAATTTCCTCAATAAAATTTTAATTCTGTTTTACAGCAAGATGAGGATGGGGTAAAGCTTCAGGATTCCTTCACCAGCTCAACCATCTCATCCTGCCCTCCTTTCCCCCGACCCCCTTTCTGGTCCCCCTCCCTTGGTGAGTATTAGCCAGCTGAAGTATGCAGTGTAACCTTAAGCAGAGACTGGCTGCTGCTTCAGAACACGAAGCATTGTCAACACCCAGGAGCCCCAGCAAGAGAAGAGAAAACTGTGTTCTTGGCTGGGAGCACGGACTCCACATCTGAGGCTCTAGTTTCCTCACTCCCATCAACTGTTATTAAGTGCCAAATATGTGCCAGGCACTGTGCTAAGCATTAGGGATACAAAATCCATTATTAGATTGTAAGCTTCTTCAGGGCAGGGCAAAAAACTGTCCCTGCCCTCAAGAAGCTTACAGTCTAATAATGGATGGAAGGGGAAAAGGAGAACAATGGCTGGACTAGATCTCTAAGCTCCCTTTATTGATGTAAATCCTGTGCTATATTTGGGACAATATTCCTGGGCCATACTTTTGTGTCAAAAAACACACACGTACCTGAGTGGCATAGGGGGATATGGGTATAAATCATACATGTGCAAGTATTCATATATGGGGGTATGTGTTCAGGCCTGTTTCATTATAGGAAATGCCTAGAAGTTGCAAAAGGGTAGAAAAAATAATGGACCATTTCAGGAATGGGGATGGATTACAAAAGGGGTGAGGAAAGAAAATGGGAAAGCCAGCCATAGGATGGCAGAATTTTAAGAAGTGCAATGCCTTCAGTTTACAGAGGAAGAAACTGAGGCTGAGAGAGGCTGCCCATTGGAGCCAAGATTCCATTCAAATTCCATCGCTCTTTTCACTCCGCCATGTGGCCTCTTCCCAATGCAGAGGTTATTTATGGCGTGCACTGTGTGGTGGGTTCTGGGGACATGGAGATTAATGATGACACAGCGTCAGATCCTGAAGGAACTTGGGTTCTAACAGTCTCTTTTTCCATCCACTAAATAACAAATCCCAAGCCCACACACATTTAAGCAGAGTGTTAGACCTAGAATGAGAAGGTCTGGATTGAAATCCTGACTCAAACATGAACCAGCTGTGTGGACCCCAGGAGGAAAGTAACTTATAAAAGTAATCTTTCTGAGCCTCATATTCCTTACCTACAGAATAAGGATAATAATCGCACCTATTTCCCAGTGTTTCCATGAGGCCCAAATGAGATCGCATATGAAAAGTACTTTTCAGACCATGAAGAGCTATCCTTGTCAGATTATCCTATCCTTATTAGAGGAGCCATGGTAGTAGGGCAGCTAGGTGGCCCAGTGGCTAGAGCGCCGGGACTGGAGTTGAGAAGACTCATTTTCCTGAGTTCAAATTTGGCTTCAGATACTTACTAGCTGTGTGACTCTGGGCAAGTCACTTAATCCTGTCTGCCTCAGTTTCCTCATCTGTTAAGTGAGCTGGAGAAGGAAATGTCAAACCACTCCAGTATCTTTGCCACCCCAAATGGGTTCACAAAGAGTCAGACATGACAGAAATGACTATACACCAACAAGCCACAGTAGTAGCTGGGAATAGTTGTAACAAGATAACACATCAAACTTGACCTAGCTGCATAAACAGACTAAATCTCAAGGTGTGGCTACATTTGCAGAATCTTAGCTTTCCCTCAGTAAGGATCACATCACAGATTCTGATCCCAGGGCTCAAGAGCATCAGCTATAATTCTGCTGGCCTTTGAGCAAGCAGCAACATTTCTGCTGCACTGAAGAGCCCAGTGACTGAAGCGTGCTTCGGTCTGAGATACATACGGTTAGAAGTGAGTTTATCTTCTCCTCCCAGAGCGTTGAATGCTCCATGAATGTTCTGAACCTAGAGACAAACATAGCTTGTGTCGATCATTTCTACAGAAGATCAGAGGAACTGAGAGACATTTATCATAGGATCTTAGACGATGATTTAGTGCAAGGGTTCTTAACTTTTTAGTATCACGAATACCTTTGTCAGTCTGCTGAAACCTATAACACCCTTTTCAGAAGGCTCTGTTTTTTTAAAAGACTAGGTCTCTCTATCCTAGATGACAAAAGAAAGATGCTAAAAGATCTTGACAAGTTAAAATGAGAATGCAAACTAATGAGACGAATTTTAACAAATAAAGTGTAAAGTCCAAGAAAATCAACTTCATGTGTCAAAGAGAAGGGTAGTGTGAATAGACACCAGTTTGCGTGAACAAACACGTGGGCATTTTAGCAGATGGCAAGCTTGATGTGTACCAACAGTGCAGCACCGGCCAAGAGAGCTGATGGAATCTCGGGATTCATTAAAAAAGGACTAGCATTCAGAGCAAAGGAAGTAACAGCCATGCCATCCTCTGTCCTGGGCAGACCATATTTTTGCTATTAAATGTTCAGTTTAGGGCATCAGATTTTAGGAAGGGAATTAATTAACAAGCTGGAGAATATCAAAGAGGGTGATGGAGATAACAGATGGGCTTGAGACCGTGAAGTGAGGATTGGTTGAAGGAAGGGGAGGTGTTCAGCTGGGAGAAGAGGAGACTTGGGGGTTTGAGGGAGGGCAGGGACAAGATAGATGTCTTTAAGTAATTTGCAGAGCTGCCACATAAAGATTAGACTTGTTCTGCTTGATGCCAGGGATCAGAGCCAGGATGTTGCAGAGAGACATATTCAGGCTCTATGTAAAGAAAAACTTTCTAGTGATTAAATCTGTTTTAGATTGTAATTGGCTATCTCAGACCACAGGAGGTCCATAATCACCGGAGGTCTTTGGGTGAGGTAGGACGATCATTAGTCGGAGACAGAGAAATAAAGCATTTATTAACTGCTTATTATATACTGTGCTAAGTGCTGGGGATACAAATACAAGTAAAAAGAAAGATAGTCCCTGCCCTCAAGAAACATACATTCTAATGGGATAAAATAACACATAAAAATCAAAGAAGGGTGGAGGGGATGGCCATGGGTTACTTAGAACCTTAGAACCTTCGTCAAGGTGTGAGCTAGAGCAGAAGTGAGCTTCGCCATTGTGGATCCTTACTCAAATGAAGGCTCAGGGAATAACTTATCATCAGTCAGAGGTGGAGGTGTCGCCAAGACAGAAGGTAGCTGGGGCGTAAGCAGAAGAGTCAGAGAGGTGGAAGGCTAGGGGCTGAGTGCGGCTAAAAGTCAGTATTGCTGGCATTCCTCAAATGGAAGTTCTGGGGAGGAACTCATCAACCGGAGAGGCAGATTTTATAGATGGAATAGCTGTTTAGGTATGGCTTCAGACAGATGACCTCTGTGGTCCTTTCTAACTCCAAGATTCTATGATGGCATCCATTTTAATACTTGTCCTTCTAGGTAAAATTTCTTTAATGTCTATACCTTTTGTGTTAATTTATTCATTACACTTCCTTTCTCCTCAGCCCCCTGGAAGTTGTCTACCTTACGATTCAAATGAGATAATTTAATGAATTCCTTTAGTTTCTTACAATATCTTAAAATATTTAAAGAACAATTAATACTACTTGAAGAATTTTCAGAAAAGCACTTCACTGAGAAATGGAATGAAACAGTTTGGTGTCTCTCAGAAGACAAGAATATGAAAGAAGTTTTGCTGAAACATTTCCATGCCAACAAACACCTTCCATCATTGCATGTTACTGGCCTTTCAACTTTAGAAATCTGTCTTCTTATAGCAATGAAATATTTAAATGGCATTTATCAGGATGAATCTTTTAACTTTCAATGGTCTATAATGAATTTCAGAAGTTTAGCCAAAGGAACTCCCATTTAGTTTATAATTTTGAAAAAACTTGTCATGAAGGCATTTGAACACTTACTAGAATTAGTGAAAGCAATGGAAAGAATTATCAGTAAATACAAAGAGAGAATAGCAACTGGTGAAACTGCTTTTGGACAGTAATCAAATTGTGCATGCTCTACAAAGGTATCCAAATTGCCCTACAGACGTCAGCCAGTGGATAGCATCTTCACTGAGCTGGTTGTGAATGACCAGCAGTTTAGGTATCCGAATAAATCAAATTATGTCCCCAGAAGTCCCAGGGTCGTAAAAGTTAGCACTATGACTTGTAAAATCTCTTCCCTGACAGAGCATTTCCTATAAGACATATTCTCTAGGTAGTCTTTAGCAAGCCCCTCCTTAAAATTTAAAAGATAACAGAAACTTGAGTTCTTACAGATTAAATTACCTACAGATGAATTTATAGGTCATCTTTATGCATGTGACTTATTGAGCTATTTTATTTAGATTTCAAAGTTTGTAATTCTGTTTGCCTTGATGCGTGTTTATATGCATTTGAGGAACATGTTTTTAGTTATAATATTAGAAAAGGATAACATTTAATCATCTTATCAAAAAGTATAGTTACATAATGGCACATGGTAAGCACTACATAACTGTGAATTATTCTTGTTACTTTACTGAACAGTTCAATGGTCACTACATGTCTCTTGCTACTCTTCTCCACTATACCTGCTAATGTCAACAACTTCCTTCTGGACACGCTTAAAGCTGGACTTTGGTGACTCCATGGTTTCCTCTTTCCTCTTGGGCTCTTTTTTCTTGTGTTCATTTTCTTCCCTTTGCCAGCTGAGGCCTACCACAAAGTTGCTCATACTGCTTCTCACAGATTTCCTTTCTCAAGGAGCTCTGTCTATTCACATGACATTCGAATACTTCCTGTACAGACAGAGCTCCCAGATCCAAATCTCTAGCCTTGAACCTCCTTCTAAAGTCCCACGTGTCTAGCTGTCTGAGGACACAAAGACATTTGATTGAGGGGAGGGATACGGGCAATTTCCTCTCCAACAATTAATCCCTCCAGACTTATTAATCACCTCCTGTCATGTACCAGGCATCACACAACCAAGACGTGGCTCCAGTATAAAAATACAGGGATAAGAACTAGATCTTGTCACTTCACCGGTGTAGCCCTCTACCAAAGCCAGACCTTTGCTGTGACTTTTAAGCTCAGAGGGTTCCCTAGAACACTAGTTAGTATGTGCTAGAAGTGTAGAAGTGGGATTTGAACCTAGGGCTTCATGGCTTCGAGGTCAGCTCTCTATCACCCCACGCTGCCTCTCATAGAAAAGCACATAATAAAAAAGTATGTAATAATAGATAACATTTATATAGCACCTACTACATGCCAGGCGCTGTGCTAAGCATTTTCCATTTATTATCTCATTTGATCCTTACAACAACCCCAGGAGGTAGGTGCTATTTTTATTATTATTATTCTCACATTACAGATGAGAAAACTGAGGCAAACAGAGATTACATGCTTACTTGCCCAGGGTCACAAAGCTAGGAAGTGTCTGAGGCTGGATTTGAACTCCAGTCTTCCTGACTCCAGGTCTGGTGCTCTATCCACTGTGCTACCTAGCTGCCTCCGAATGTGCAAAATAGAAATCAATGCAAGGTGATCTATGGAGGTTGGATGGAGCAGATCGGGAAGGACTTCACAGAGATGCTAAGAGGCAGAGGGTGAGAGGAGAGTATATTCAAGGCATGAATGACAGCTGCTGAAGAGATGGGAGACAGAGCATCTTGGATGGGGAACAACAAAGTGGAAGCTCCGAGAAAACAAAAAGGAAACCACAGCTGGCTGGATTGTAAAGTGTGTTGAGGGACATTACATGTAAGAAGTCTGGAAAGGTCAGCTGGGCCTAGCTTGTGACCACCTTAAAATGCCAAACACAGGAATCTGTATTTGATCCTAGAAGTCTTAGGGAGCCCCTGGAGTTTCCCGAGTAGAGGAGTGATGTGGTCAGACTCGCACGTTGGCAGCCGTGTGAAGGACAGATCAGGAGTGGGAGGAAACTTGCAGCAGGGAGGTCAATTAAAGAGGCTATAGTTTGGGGAAGAGGGGATGAAAAAGTGACCTCAATGCCACTGTACTGGCCAAAAATCTGTCACTTCTTTCAAATATTTCCACTGCTTTCAATACCACTTCAATATTCCTAGGCCACCAGTCTTAAAACATTGGATTCATTTCCCATTGCTCTCTTTTACCTCTTAGATCTATCTCATCCATCCTCAAATTCTGCCACTCTGCAAGCCATTCTTCTCCCCCACACCCCCTCCCTGCCCCATTCCCACTCTTCCCCATCCTCCGCTGTCAGCTCATCACAGCGAGGCTCCTAGTCCAGCCCCTCAAGCGTTCATAACCAACCCAGTGTTAGTGTCTTCAGCCTCTCCTTCCTCCAACAAATCTTACATTTGCATGCAGAGGCTATCATGATCATCTTCACATATTTAGTCTATTTTTTAATGAGTTCCAAATTCTGTCCCTCCCTCTCCCCTCTCCCCCACCTATTGGGAAGGCAGGGAATATATCATCAATTTTACATGTGAATTTGTCTATCTTTAAAAGCTAGAAAGTACACGTGCTATTATTATCCCCATTTTACAGTTCAGGAAACTGGGGCAAACAGAGGTTAAGTGACTTGCCCAGGGTCACATAGCTAGTAAGTATCTGACACTGAATTTGAACTCAAGTCTTCCTGATTACAGGTCCAGCATTTTATCTACCATGCCACCAGTTGCCTCTAGCTCCACTACCCCATGAAGGCTCTCCAAGGTCCTAGAAGCAGTTAGTGGAAAAGCTAAGACGAACATTCAGAACTTCTGACATTATATAAGCATGCACATCTTCTTCACCTGCCTATGGTCTATCACGTCAGTTAGATTAAGAGGCAGCTAGGTGGTACAGTAGACAGAGCACTGGACCTGGCGTCAGAAAGACCTGAGTTCAAATACTAACTCAGACACTTACTAACTCTGTGGTCCTAGGCAAGTCATTTAACATTGGCTTCAGTTTCCTCACCTGTAAAATGGGGATAATAATAGCACTTATTTCGCAGGGTTGTTATGAGGATAAAATGTTATCGTGATAATATTTGTTAAGCCCTTTATAAACCTTGAAGTGCTATCTAAATGATTGCTATTATTATTTATTATTTTTACAAATATATTTAGAATAGGGATCTTTTTTTGTCTCTGTGCCCTTTGGGTAGCACACATAGTTGGCACCCCATAAGTATCAGTTGATTATTTCTATGGAAACTTATGAACAAGAAATGGCAGAGGAAACATCACCAAAGACATACAGGACTGGAAAAGGAGGTGGGTTAGTCATGTTGTTGGAATAAAGGATAACAAGATGCCTGTGTTGGGAGCTTCACTGTGGTCTGGAGTCACAGACCCTGGGTTCGGATCTTGGCTCCACTAATTCTTTCCTATGTAAAGAGAGGGTTGCATCTAATGTGACTCTAGATATAGGATCACATAAAGTCCCCCACTGTCTTGGGTCAATCCTCTATGGAAGATTTTACAGAAACGCTGGGACAAGAATCAAGAATCTCACAGGATAAAAAGATGTAGGTGGCCTGCACTGTGCCTTGGTAGAAGGACTGCCCATTCCAATGAAATGGGAGATCTATTGAAGGATTTGTATGTGTGTGGGCTGCTGTACAAAGGAAATTTGGAGAGGCCTGGTCCCTGGCCCTTCAGTGGAAAGAACAGAACTAGGAAAGCAATCGGCGAGATCTCATAAGAACAAATAGCAAAGATAATTTCTCTACCCTCAAACCTTTTCCAAAAAAACCCCATGAAGCTTGAAAAGTGCCTAAAGTGATTTTTACACGAGAGAATAGAAAGTTTATGATTGGTCAGCACATGCTTGGACGTGGCTGGCCATGGAACAGGTTGTTAAGATTACAACAGCATGAGTTGTTCACATTGGGCAATCAAATGAATAGAGTGATTGGGAAACTAGTAATGGAGCTATGGAATGTGTGTGTGTGTGTGTGTGTGTGTGTGTGCACGCGCGCGCATGTGTGTGTGTGTGTGTGTGTGTGTGTGTGTGTGTGTGTGTGTGTGTGTATACACCTGGGTACATAAGAGAAAAAAAATACAACACCAAGGCCTTATGAAGTCAAACCAAACCAGGTTATAGCAGTGCAGCAGAATAAGTAGGCCCATGTGGGAAATCAGGGTTTGCACCAAGTTAAATGCCAACCTAGCTGAAGCAGGAGGATGGAGGAAATATTGAAGTTCATCTTGGGGGGCTGAGAAAGGTAGAATTGACTTTCTTTAGAAGAATTCTAAATAAACTTGCTAAGGGGAAAAAAAGGAAGAAATTACCTTCTGATGAAATCAAGAACAAACTAAGGCTTTTCTTCCTTAGGTCTACTCCCCGCCTAAAAAGGGTGGAGGGCACAGGAGACATCTAACCCCTCTTGCCTCTTCCCCACCCACAAATCTACTCCACCCACTAATGGCATACCCTTTTTAGTGCATGAGGCCATCAGCAAAAAGCATCCTCCCAAGGGTAAACGTAATCCACCCCTTAAATGACCCCTTCCATCCATACTCCCCATTCCACTTAAAAATAACAAACTTCTCTTGGTCTCGGTGTCACTGGGGTCTGAGAACTCACCTGCAATGTATCTCCAAAGGACAGCTTGTGGATGACATGAGTCATGTCTGGATTCTGGGGCTGTGCAGTGGCACTGTGTGTTGATACGTGAAAGTTGCCAGGGACCTGTTTGGGCCAATAGCCCACAGGGCAAAAAACACAGGAAAAACAAGCTTTTAGAAAATATGTCCCCTTTCCTCTCCTCCTGATTCTATCTATGAGAAGTAGGGCAGAAATCATGGGACTTGATTATGCCTTATCCAAACTGGGATGTCAAGAAGGACTCTAGACTATGGTCCAAATATCAGGATGCTTCCTAGGTAAGAGAAAAGGGAACAAGTATTTATTTAGTGCCCACTGTATGCCAGGCACTGTGCTAAGCTTTACAAGTATGATCTCACCTAGGGGGGATTAAGGTGTCTCCTCAAGTGACACTGGGAGAATGAGGGGAAGTGCCTTTAGCAGGAGGAAGCCCTATCATTCTTTGAAGACAATGACATCTGCATTCTTTAAGGTCCATGAGGGCAGGGCCAAAGTGTCTGACTTTAGAATGTGAGTTCCTTGAGGGCAGGGACAGTGTTTTTTGACTTTCTTTGTATTGCCAGCACCTGGCACATAGGAATGCTTCTTGCCTGTGTGTGTGTGTGTGTGTGTGTGTGTGTGTGTGTGTGTGTGTGTGTGCGTGTGTGTGTGTGTGTGTGTGTGTGTGTGTGTGTAAAATATATAAATTTTACACAAATTTTAGATCTTCCTCAGTACTTACCATAGTGCTCTATGGATAGCAAATGCTTAATAAATGTTTGTTAAACTGCCCCCATTAATGATGAATAAATCTACCCTTCAACTGAGTGATCAATTAGACCTTTATTGTTCCAAAGGCCAAATGGCCATAAATTCATCACCTCTTGTTCCTAACTGAGTTTCTTTGGTGGAGTTTTTCTCCTGTCCAAATCATCTTCCACACAGCTGCTAGACTGATATTCCTACAGCACAGATCTGAGTAGGTCACTCCCTTGATCAAAAAGTTCCGGAGGCCCTATTGCCTCTAGTATCAAATACAGATTCCTTGGCTTGTCACTCCAAGTTCACCATGATCAGGCTTCCATCTACATTTCTGGCTTATTATGCATTACTCTTCTACTGCACTTCACACTTTAGCCAAAGCAATTGACTTGTTTGTTCTTGTCATGAGACGCTCTATCCCTGCTGCCACCCCTAGACTATCTTCTCATCTCACCTCTGCCTCTACAGAGCTCTGGACCCTTCAGAACCCAGCTCAAGCACCACTTCCTACAGCCTGACTGGCTTTTGCTGACACTACTAGTGTTTAGCTTTGCACACATTTATTTTATATTTATCCTCCAAGCTGGAACACCAGAAGCCATGCCTGGGAGGAGCTAAGACATTCAGCTTTGTACTCCCTGAGACAAGAAATGGTCATCTTTATCCCTGGCCATTCTCTTGCCAGCCTCCCAAATCTCTTTTTTCTCTAAGATAGGGATAGAGATAGGGACTGAACCTATAGTCTACTGACTTAGGGAACTCCCAGATAAGCTATCTCCCTCTACTAATGTAGATTGGGACTGTCTTGGAGGGTAAAGTGAGTCATCACAGTATACAACCAATATGTGTTAAAGGGCAGACTTGAACCAGGTCTTCCCAGCTCTGAGATTATCTACCATATTCCAAAGCCACTTCTCAGGAGAGGTGCAATCAAATCACCACTACCATTGCTTCTGGAAAGAGTGTGTTAAAATGGACTTCTCTATTGGGACAGCTAGGACTCTTCTTCCTGAGTTCAAATCTGGCTTCAGACACTTACAAGCTATGTGACCCTGGGCAAGTCATTTAACCCTGTTTGTCTCAGTTTCCTCCTCTGTAAAATGAGCTGGAGAAGGGAAATGGCAAACCACTCCAATATCTTTGCCAAGAAAACCCCAAATGAGGTCACAAAGAGTCAGAGACACAACTGAAAAACCACTAAACAACAATTGTTCCACTCACCATCTTTGTGACTTCTTGGACCATGAATCCCTTCCCTGGTTACTACTCCCCACGTGTATGGTTTCCCCCATTAGAATGTCCTTGAGAGCAAGGACTATTTCACCTTTGTATTTGGTTCATAGCATTTAACATAGTCCTTGGCATGTAGTAAGTGCTTAATCAATAGCTTTTATCCATTTATTCAGTTACTTATATGTGAGTATCTTTTTTTCTCTCAAAGTAATATAAACTTGTTGAGGCAGATACTGTTTTATTTTTACTTCTGTTTTGCCAGCACGAAGCAGAGGCTGTGGCACACAGTAAGTGCTTAATAAATGCTTGTTGAATGAATAAGAATATCTATGACTTTCACGAGGATCCCATGAGCTCTAAAGCCTTCTTCATCTGATAGCAACGATCTAGTTTGAGGTCTGAGCAATGAGATCCATTAATTTAAATGATTCAAAGAGGTCCCTATACTTGATATTTGCATCTGAATACATGGGACTTCCCCCCAGCAAGTCTGACTCAATAATTTATTTCTATATTAGTTTCTCTCCCACCCTCTCCTCTGCCCCCATCACCAGGACACTGATCACATCACAGTTTGATAGAATTGGGTGACTCATAAAAGCAAGTGCTGGCCTGCAGAAATGAAGGATTGAGGGCATATGATTTATAAACCCACGTAGCCTTTACTAATGGACTTAAAAACATATGGTGCCAATCATCTAATGCCTGCCTAAATCCTGACTACCTCCTGCTGACTCAGTGAGTCAGTTAACTCCAAAAAAATGCTACCCACTGAGGTTTCAAACCGTTTCAACCAAGTAGTTGAGTTGCCAACACAGTCTGAAATATTCCAGCTCTAACATCATTTGTTTTAGATGTAGGGTGGCGATTCTGACTCTCCAGAATGTACACTTGCTTATAAATTCAAATTAAGCTCAGCTCTCCACAGTCCAAAGGTAGGCAATGGAAGGAGGGAAACTCACCGGCCTCTTGAAAAGTTTGATACAAAAAGAGAGGGATCAAAGATATCAGTTATTCAAATTTCTGATACGAAGATAGCCATCTTTAAGCTTCACAACTAACATCATTACTTTAAAGTTACTATCTTTCAAAAGTAATTGGTAATAAGAACTGACACTGGGGGAGCACTTTAAAGGTAGGCAGAGAAGTGTAGTAGTTAAAATTTTCCTCAAAGCCAGGAAGACCCGGAGTTGCAGTATTCCCACTGATGTCACCTTATGTGTGACCCCAGCTGGGCAAGTCCCTTCACTTCCAAGGGCTCAACTCTCTAAGTCACAGAGCAAGAACCATTCTTCAGTGGTAGAGGGGGTTTCCTCATTTGATCTGGACCCAGTCTTGAAGACCCAGAAAGGAAAGTTCTTGCCAGCAAAAGTCCTTGGCACCAGAAACTGATAGGATTTTATCAGTGAAAATAACACTCAAGAAGAGGTACTGCCACCTGCTTTGCTAGCTGCTGAAACTTTTCATTCAGTGTTATCTCCTCCATTAGAATGTAAACTTCTGGAGAGTAGGACTGTCTTACTTTTCTGTTTGTATCCCCCTTAGCACAGTGCTTTACACAAAGTATTTAATCCATGCTTTATTCCTCAGTTTGGGTCCCTTTGTGCAAATTGGCTTATATATATATATATATAATATATATATATATATATATATATATATATATATACATATGTAAAATCTCACTTAAGCCTCACAAAGAACTGAAAACTCCGTACTACAGGTTTAATGTTCTTGTTTTATGGATGAGGAAATGAGTTTTAAAGAGGTCAGGTGACTTGTTCAAGGTCACACAGCTAGTGTCTAAGACAGGATTTGAACGCAAATCATCCTTTCAAATATTGCACTCTTCTATACAAGGGGGCCATCTCCAGTCATCCTAATCTATGTCTTGCCATTGGACCCAAATGGCTCCAGTGGAAAAAGTGAGGCTGGTGACTTTTGCACAGTCCTGCCTCACTTAAGTTCAATCAATTCACTTGCAAGTCATGGCATCACCTTCCTGATGCCACGATCTTCTTTGAGAACGAAGGACAAACAACAGCTTCTACACAATGTTGCCTTTCGTGTGTGTGTGTGTGTGTGTGTGTGTGTGTGTGTGTGTGTGTATGTGTGTGTGTGTGTGTGTTTAAATCCTGTTTTCCTCAATGGAACATAAGCTCCCTGAGGACAGGTACAGTTTCATTCTTGCCTCTGTATTCCTAAGCCCTACTACAATGGCATCTCGGTGTTATAGGCCTGGAGTCAGGAAAACTCATCTTCCTGAGTTCAAATCTGACCTCAGAAACTTACAAGCTGCCCACCTAACCCTGTTTGCCTCAGTTTTCTTCTCTGTAAAATGAGCTGGAGAAGGACATAGCAAACCAGTATCTTTGCCAAGAAAACCCCAAATGGAGTCACAAAAAGTGGGACCCAACTGAACAACAACAAAAAGCACAATGGCTGGCACGCAGTAAATGCTAACTAAAGAAATGCTTGTTGAATGAACGAACGGAATCAGATCTGCTGGGGAAATATGCTGCTCATATTAACTCTGCACAGACAGGGCCTATCAGCCTCGAATGCAGAGCCACGGAGACTCTGACTCTGGGCAGAAATGTGTAAGTCAAATCCTGTTTTAGATGTCTGTAGGACATCTTTAATTTCCCTTTGCAGAGTGAAATGACATAAATGAAATTGGAAACTCTTAATTTGGTCCCTGGAAAAAAGCCAGGTTTATAGGTCATTCATACTTCTGTTTCCAATTTGTTTTCTTTGAAAAACAAAGTTTATGAAACAGTCCTTTCAAAACTGAAATAGAATATGACCCCAGGGAAGAAAGGAAGACCACCAAGCTCCAGACTCAGGAGATTGACCTGGGGAGCAGATTGATTACTTTGGCATCCTACAAACTTTCCCTGTGCCCTCTGAGGAATGAAAGACAGTATGGTATAACTGGAAAGAAGGCTGGCCTTACAGTTGGGAAGATGTGGGCTCAATGTTCAAGGCAACTCTGTCACTCTAAGTTATGGACAGATCTGTGAGAGAATTTCTTAAACCGATGAAGTCATAGGCCCCAGATCCCCACAGATGCGAGATTCTGCAGTATAGTTCTCTTCCGGTCCCTTACTCTTGTGTGGTGGTGGACCTTGGTTCTCAAAGGTTCCCAGCAGTATTGAAACTCTGGTAAACCCTACTACTGAGCAAGGCTTCTAGTGAGGGTCCAGTGAAATGGAAATCTTTTCTGCCCTCATGGAGCCTGCCTTGGTCACAAGGTGCTGAGTCTTTTCAATGAGTGGGCCCAGCTGGCACTTGGTGCTCTTGAGCTATAGGATTGGTTGTGAGGTACGCCCTCACCAATGACCACTTCACCTGTGCTTCTGGCTTCTTCTAAGATTGTTTAGAGAAGCCAGAAATGAGGCTTCTGCTTAGCATGGGACAGAGTTCACCTATAAATGACTAATGCTTAATTTTGACCTCTTGGTGAACCAGCTCAATGGTATATTGTCCTTTATTCTGGGATCCCCTTTTCCCTTGTCCTATCACTGATCAAATCTTGTTAAACCATAATCCTTGATTACTCTCACCATCTGCCTCTTGCTTTACTTGCATGCTATTGAACTGAACTGGAGGGGAGGAAATGATGAAATTAAGCTTACTGACTCTACTATAAAGTTAATGCCAACTATGCCCTTATTGCAGCAATGCAATCCTATTTCCCTTCCCTAATCAAGTCCCTAGTCCACTTACCACAGAAATTGTTCCACAAGTTTTCTTCTGTCCTCAAGCCCCACTTCTATCCCCCACCCCCAACCCCCATCTTTGTTGAGGACTTTGTAAAAACTGAAGATGTCAGCCAAGGGATCTTTCTTATCCCTTCCTCTTCATCTCACAAACCCCTCTGAAATCAGCTCCTCTTATCACCTCCTTCACACTTCAGTCTCTAGTGATGAGACAGCTTTGCTGCTTGCAAAGGCCAACACCCCTACATGCACCCTTGATCCCACCTCCTCCTGTCTCCTTCACCAGACTGCCCCTATCCAAATGCCTAGTCTCCATCTAATCTTCATCATCTAGTTACCTACTAGCACCAACCCTGCTGCTTATAAACATGCCCAATCTTCCTATTCTTAAAAACTCTTGATAGATACCATCGTACCTGCTAGCCATTGTCTTGTATCTCTCCTCTTCTCAGCTAACCTCCTCCACAAAGTCATTTTCAATCACTGACCTCATCCTTCAACCGATTATTTAACTGCAAAATTAATGACCTCTTCTCAGTCCTAAAACTTTCCTACCTTTCACAACTCTGTCTTTTACGCTTTATCCTGGGTCCTTTTTTCTCTATATATTTTCTCAGCTGATGAACTAATTCATCAGCCCCTAACTGAACCAGGGTTCAATTATTATCTCTATTAGATGATTCACAGATCTATTTGTCTAGCCCTAGTCTCTGGCACTACAAACTATGTGTCTTATAGACATCACAAACTCAATATGTTGAAAACTAATGGGGCAGCTAGATGACGCAGTGGATAGTCAGTCACTTACTAGTCTAGTTGTGTCATATAGGGTAAGTCACTTAGCCTCTGTCTGCCTCACTTTCTGCAGCTATAAAATGGGAGTAATAATAGCATCCATTTCACAGGGTTATTGTGAAGATAAATGAGACCACATATAAGGTTTGCTTTGCAAACCTTAAAGTGCTATATAAATGCTACCTATTATTATTATCATTTTAATTATCAACATTTTTTAAGCAGACTCTCTTCTGGATGAAGTTTACAGTATCTCTTCTGAGTGGTACCAGTCCTTCAGTAGTATCAAATTGCTGGGATTTGACACCCTCTCCCCTTTCTTCCCCTAGGGGAAAATCAGGTAAAGAAACAGACTTCAGCAGCCCTGGGAATAAACTAATATAAACTAGGTTCTCTGGAGAATTTCCTATAAACTTTACAATCCGCGATTCAACTAGGAGCCAAATGATGTAGCTAGATCAGCAAGCAGCCGGGGGGAGTTGGGAGTGGAATGGAACAAAGAAAAAACATGAGACTTAGGGCTATCATTTCCCTTCCTGGATCTTCAGTTGCCTCAACCATAAAATGAGAGGACTGGGCCAGATTGAACTAGTTTTGAGGCTCCAGTGCTTAGAAAAGTGCCTGGCACATAGTAGACATTTAATAAATGTTTATTGACTGATTCCTTCCAGAACTAAATCCTAGAATCATATGAACCTGCTTAATGGGCACATGGCCTATCGAATTTTTCAGGTATCCTGTTTTGCTTTTTTTAAAGCCATATCCTAGAATTGTACTTTTTAGCTGGTTTCAGTAATAATGATTCTATTAACCACAAGATCAGGCTATGATTCCAAAGCAGCCTGACATATACCTAAAACCTGTGGCCCAGAGAATGGAGCAGCAAGACTGCCATGAATATACTCAGCCCTGTAGTGGCTCGTATCCAAGGGAGGGACCACACAGTAATTCGGTTTATAGGAAGAAGGCCAGGGAATAGGAGGGAGATGGCAGGAAGGGACCTAACATCTCCAGTCACCTTGTTGATGCTGAACTGGCCCTCGAACCGGCAGCCTTCACCATTGTTCAGAGGGATTTTCATCGAGTTGTCAATATGTCCGACTTCATGTCTCCCCATCTCATCCTGGATGTCCAGTCCAACCACTTTGGAGTACCCGGAGAACAAAGAGAACATGGGGAGAGTCACAATCAGAGGAAAGGGTAAGGGACGGGAGCTACCCCCATGGGTATTTGTTGCAAAGCATCTATCATCTGTTAAGCTGGAGAGAAGGTCAGCTAGGTACAGGAGTAAGAGAAGGTCTCTTTAAATCTAAGGAAATACAGACTTTCCCTTTAACTCACAGAGTTTGGCTTAAAATAAGCAGGCGTTTCCATGGCATGTCGGCACATTCCAAGACTACAATGAAGAAGAGCAGCTGGGAGTAACTTGGGAGTAAGGCTTCCTTGGTTTCAACACCAGGGCATTACATAGTCCCAAATGTGGGAGTGACTCTGTGTGTGTGTGTGTGTGTGTGTGTGTGTGTGTGTGTGTGTGTGTATAAAAAGAAGAGTAAGAATAAAGGACAAATAAAACTAGGGAACCCTTCAAACTCAGGTAGAGACATCAGAGGATATCCAAACCCTGGAGCCAAAAATGCTAATGTGGGCTGCCTGCTTCATTGTATGCTCCAAGAGTGAAAAAGGGTCTAGGGAAAAAAATCCCTTTCTACTACACTAATGCTACCAGGTCTCCTATGTGACTAAAATTTTCCTTCTTTCTGGAGCACTGTTTCTGCAACTCCTGAATTAAAGCTCTAAGGCCAGATTTATTTTTCTAATTGAAAGAAAAAAAACATATTTGAACAGCACAGGGTTCCTGGTTCTGCTTTTACTCTGAGATAAAAAAAAAGGGTATAATTCCCATCTGAAGGCCCAAAAGCAATAACAAGGATGAATTCTTCATTCAGATTCTGGATTTTCACCAAGCTACTCTAACCCACAGTAACCCCCCTTAGCAGATGTCGAAGAGGAGGTGTCATTTGCGAGGAAATGACTTAGCAGGGACTCACAGAGCCAGGGACATTAGATTCTGGGGGTGGAACTGAAGCTTACTGTGGCCTTGGGAAGTTGCCCAATCTAGAGCAAAGGTAGAATGTTAAGGGAATAAAAGAGCCATTTGTGGTACTCACATTCACAGTGTAAATTCGGCAAACTGATGTTCAGACTGACATCTATTTTGCCTCCACTGTCTTTATCGGGATCGTCGACATATAGCTCGTTCACTCTGTGGGAGAGATAAGCACAGGACCCTTTGTTGTAACAGATGTGCACCACCTCCCCTGCTCCCCGACAAAGCACCACACAGTTGGTCCTACCCCTCTGCCTCTGCACTGTGGATAACTGGGCTCTTACAGTACTGCCCTATTTTAAAAGCCTTTGACTGTTAAGCCACAAGTCAAGGCATAGGGGGAAGAAGCTCAGTTGGTGATTTATCTCTAACATTTGGGTACTGGTATCAGTGAAGATAATCAGTTCTCCCCTTAATATGTCCCTTGCTTAACATTGCTTATACTGCTAGAGAACGAAGACTAGAAATGAAGTGAACAGAATAATAATAATTTATACCATGACAAAAACATGATAACTTCGAAGGACTTTAGAACTTGGATCAATACAAATCATGAGTCTGGAGGAGTAAAGATGAAACACGTTAACTACTTTCTGTCAGAGAGGTGCTAGACTTAAAATGTAGAAAGAAACACACATTTTCAGATATGAACAGTGAGGGAATTTGTTTTGCTGGACTACGCATGTTTAGGATGAGATTTTTTTTCTTTTCCTTTTAATTTTACAATTGGGAGGGAAGTGGGATGAATCCCTCCTACAATCTAGCTTCTCATGCAGGTCAATCAAGTATTTTTGAGTTAGCAACTGATTTATATTTAAAGACTATATGTCCATCAACTGGGGAACAGCTCAATAAACTGCTGTATATGATTGTGATGGAATACTATTGTGCTTTAAGAAATGATGAGCAGGATGCTCTCAGAAAAATATGGGAAGACTTACATGAACTGATAAAAAATGAAATTAGCAGAACCAGAAGAACATTGTACACAGTAACAGCAATAACTGTGTGATGATCTACTATAAATAACTTAGCTATTCCCAGCAATACAATGATCTAAGACAATTTTGTAGGACTTATGATGAAAGGTGCTGTGTATCTCCAGAGAAAGAACTGGTAGAGCCTGAATGCACAAAGACACTTTTTCTTTACCTTCTTCAATTTTATTTTTTTTGTCTGTGTTTTCTTTCACAGAATGACTTACATGGAAATGTGCTTTGCATAACTACACATGCATAACCTATGTCAGATTGCTGGCCTTCTCAATGAGGGGAGAGGAAGGGAGTGAGAGAATATGGAACTCAAAACTGAAGAAAGGGAATGTCAAAATTGTTTTTGCATGTAACTGGGAAAAAATATGAAATATGACAAAAAAGACTATATGGAAGAAGAGATGAAATAAAGAGAAGGCTCATGTGGAATGAAGTATTCTCCATTATGTACTCAATGTTCCGGTCAAATAAAAATATTTTCAAATTTATCAATCAATCAACAAACATGTATTCAGTACTGAATCTGTTATACGCTACACCAGGTTCTAGGCATTACCAAGACAAAAATGAAATAACCTCTCCCCTCAAGGAGCTTACCCTTTATAAGGGGAAACAATGTGTACAATATGCACACATATAAGCATATGTGAACCATGTATGAAGTAAATAAGAGGTAGTACGGAACAGTAGATCAAGAGGTAGGCTCTAGGGGCAGCTAGGTGGCACAGAGGATAGAGTACCAGCCCTGAAGTCAGGAGGACCTGAGTTCAAATCTGGCCTTAGACCAAACACTTGACATTTACTAGATGTGTGATCCTGAGCAAGTCACTTAACCCCAACTGCCTTAAAAAAAAAAGAGGTAGGCTCTGAGTTTGGGTTCCAGTGCTACTTTGACAATACTGTGTGATTCTGGCCAAGTCACTTAACCTCCAAGTTCCCCCAGGTGCCTCTCTAAGACTGTAAGTTGCAGAATAGATGCTGATTTTATTGGTAGAAAGAGTTTCCACATTGGAACTCTCTCTACCAATAACATCACAGGTCTAGTAAAAAAAAAATAACAAAAATAAACACGAAGTTTTTCATTTGTTTGTTTGCTTGGTAGAGGAGGAGCCAGCAGCTGGAAAGGTCACAGGTTCACAGATATATAACCAAAAGGGACCTCAGAAGCCTATTAAGTCCAACTCCATTAAATTTCCTCATTTTCTAGATAAGGAAACAAAGCCCAGGGAAGTTCAATGATCTGTCTAAGCCTTAGACAAACGGTCAACAAATAATGAAAGGATTTGTTTTGTGAAGTTTGGATTCACTCAAAAGGCTACACCTGAGGACCTGGAGGGCTGCATGGGGCCTGGCCACATGGGTTCCCCACCCCGTGGTCGAAGGTCACATAGTATCAGAGGCAGGATTTGAACCCAGTTCTTCTGACTGAGATAAGCCTTGAAGGAAACGAGATTCTAAGAGATGGATCCTAAGAGGATGAGGAGGGCATCAGTGTTTGTAAAGGCATGGAAATTAGAGATGGAATGTGGTGCATGAAGAACGGCCAGGGGGCTAGGCTGGCTGGCCTACAGAGTATGAAGGAGAAGGCTGGATGTGAAGGCTTTTAAATGCCAAGCAAAGGTGGTTGTATTGAATGGTAGAGGCAAGAGAGAAGCTTTGGAGTTTATCAAGCAGGGGAATGAAATGGTCAGATCGGTGCCTTTGTCAGGCCATGCTCTGACATCTTAGTGGAGGACAGTTTGGAGAAGGGAGAGGTCAGAAGCAGGGAGTTCGATCAGAGATCCATTGCTATTGTCTAGATGAGCAGTGGGGACACCTGAACGAGGGTGAGTGGAGAGAAATGTGACTTGTCACATTTGTGATCCGGTGGCTCACTGGATTTGTGGGCTGAAGGAGAAGGACATGTCAAGGGTGACTTCAAGGTTGTGAAACTGAGTAACTAGAAGAGACAGGGAAGTTCAGGAAATGAATAGGTTTGGGGGCAGTGAGGATGGCAAAAAGATAATGAGCTTTGTTGTGGGCACAACAAAGATTTTTTTGTTTTGTTTTTGACTAGGCAATGGGGTTAGGTGACTTGCCCAGGGTCACACAGCTAATAAGTGTGAAGTGTCTGAGGCCAGATTTGAACTCAGGTTCTCCTGACTCCAGGGCCGGTGCTCCATCCACTGCACCACCTAGCTGCCTCCATAATAAAGATTTTGAGATACCTACAGGGAATCTAGTTTCAAATGTCCAACACGCAGCTTATGATAAAAGACTGAAGCACAAGAAAGAGAAAAGAGATGGATATATGACCTGGGAATCATTTGCGTAGAGATGACTGCACCCGTGGGAGCAGATGATGGAAAAGAGCGCTCAGTACAGAATCCTGGGCTACGTGCGATCAGTTAGGGGGTAAGATAACGATGATTCACCAAAGAAGTCTGAGGAGGGGTCAGCCAGGTAGAAGGAGAATCAGGAGCAGGAACATTATCTCAGATGGGAGACAACATCTAGGAGGAGAGACGGGCTAACTGCATCAAATGATGCAGAGGTCAAGACGAAGAAGGATTACCTGATAGAAGTATGTAGAGGGAAACTTTACATACAAATATGTGCATGTATGTGTGTATATTATAGACAGATACACAATACAGAGACACCTATTCATGTCTAATGGTAGTCACTTCTAGGGCAGGGAGTGGAGGGGGGAAATTTACATGATAATTTGAAAGGAATACAGATTTGCAGTTTAATGTACGATCAGCTTTTTTATTGTACTGTTACGAAAATGTTTTATTCTATGCATTAAAAATAAAATTTTAAAAATTAATTTAAAAAAAGTGAGGATTGATTTGGCTTTGGCAATGAAGAGATCACTGGTAACTTTGGGGAGAATTTCATTTGAGTGATGAGGTCAGAAGCTTGATTGCAAATGGCTGAGAAGTAAAAAAGAGGAGAGCAAGTGGAGGCAAAGAGCCAGGTAACTTTTCCTATGAGTTTAGCTACAAAAAGGAGGAGAGATAAAGAACAGAAGCTTGAGGGGGTAGCAGGGTCAAGAGGAGGTTATTTTAAGGACCGGGGAGACCTGGACATATTTGTAGGCAGGAGGGAAGGAGCTAGTAGAGAATGAAAGAATGAAGTTTTGAGGGGTTAGAGAGAAATGACTGTGGAGGAAATGAGCTAGAAGGGATGGAACCAAGAATACAAGTGGGTGGGGAGTGATAGTGATGAAAAAGAAAAAAAGAAAAAGAAAACATCAATAAAACATTAAAAAATACACTAAAAGCAGAAGTTTAGACAAAAAGGGCTCTTTTGTAATTAGTATGCTTAATATACACTTTTAAAGACTGTACATGGCAGAAGCCCACAGTTTCACATACAGTCCTCCCTTCCTGTTCTTTTTTTCCTTTTTTTTCTTTTGTAAATTGAAACGTTCATCTTTGTCAAGTTCATTAAAAACAAAAAGTACATTTGGAAGAGTTGATCTTAGTAAGGAAATGGGCCATCTTCAGAGAATGGAGCAAAATACATAGAAGGGGAGTGAGGAATAATGATGATTACTACTACTACTACTACTACTACTACTACTACTACTACTACTACTACTACTACCACCACCACCACCACTACTACTACTACCACCACCACCACCACCACCACACTACTACTACTACCACCACCACCACCACCACCATTTATATAGTGCCTACTATGTGCTGAGCACTGTGCTTTACAAATATTATTTCTCTTGATCATCACAACAGCCCTGGGAGGTAGGTGTTATTATTATCCCTGTTTTACAGATGAAGAAACTGAGGCAAACAGGGTCACATAGCTAGTAAGTGTATGAGGCTGGATTTGAACTCAAGAAGATGAGTCCTCCTGACTCCAGGCCAGGCACTCTATTCACTGTACCACCTAGCTGCCCTAAAAGTAAGTTAATTTTGTTTTTAAAACTACCTGAGTAGCTTTTGTAAATTTTTTTTTTGGGGGGTATTAAAACAACAACAACCCTGGGCTAATTAATTCCATGGTCAACAGAACCAGGTCATGCTAACAGGCGAAATAGATGCACTATGTATGGTAGTTGACAGAATTTTGTCTTGACAATGATGGAATCTGGATCACGTGATTTCCTGCTGCCCCTCCCAGACCGATCAGTTTCTGACTCTGTGAGCTAATCGCCCGGCCATATTCATTCAGGCAAAGGCCCAAATGTCCTCCCCAAGCAGGTCTCCCTTCTTCAGCCTGGCTCCTTGGTGAATGTCATCTCTCCATATACTCTGGCAGTGCCAGGAAAAGGGAATAGAGCTGGCCCTGATCCTCTGGAGCATCCATTGCTGGAGACAAGTGCCCTTCCCTCAGGACATTTTAGGCCCCAAAATAAATGGGACACATTAAAGACAAGGCTGGGTAACACAAGGTCAGAAAAGCATATGTACTCCGCGCCTGCTTCTGACCCCATGCCACAAGCTGACAACCGACAGGCTGAGGTGTGGATTGTTTTCTCTTTAAGCCGAATGCCCCTCCTAAGGCCTCAGCACCCAACAACCACCTCCTTCCCATGAAATCTTGACTGTCCTGTATTTGCTGATGACTAATAGGACGGTCATGTAGGGAGGGGCCCCAAGCTCCCCCTCTGAGGCTGCAAAGGCTCTTCCTATGATGCTACTCACCTTCCTATCTGGGCTGGAGACATACCTTTTATGTCTTATTGAGAGATTATGAAGATTAAGTCACACCTTGCAATCTTCCATGGAGAATGAGCTCACGCAGAAGTGGCATTAATCCCCAGAAGGGAAGCTACATGACCTCACCTTTTCAGGCCCCAGGGGGCTGCTCCAAGCACAATCCCCAGCCAACCCAGTTTCATAAGACTCTCAGTAAAATGGCAGGGTGCCCAATTCCCCTCTGTCTTTGGCATTTCCATGACACACCCAGCTGGTGCTCTAGAAAGGGCTAAGAGCCCAGCCTTCCGGCCCTTTAAATGCTACCAAAAGAAAAGGCACACACATGCCAAGGTAAGGGATGGAAAATGCATTTGGCCTCCAAAGGCCTTCCTTCAGTCTGGGGCTGGGGAAGTTAATCTGTGTTATGTAACACTCCATGTCCACAGTGTTTCTCTATGGTTCCTTCTTGAAGGACCTCAAGCCGCTACATAAACATCTATTGATTACATCTACTACGGCATCTGGATGAGGTAAATGTAGTCATCTCCGTGATATATTGCCAATTTTTCATTTCAGGCTGGCATCTATTTGCCATTCAACACATCCTGGGGCTGCTATCCTTTGACGTACAAACAGTAGACGTAAACTAATTTGATTGGGCCAAGCCAAGCAAAACTGGAAAGATAAATCTGCTGCCAGAAGTCATCAGGTGTGTATTTCAAAAGCAAAAACAAATGACTTGTGAAGTAGCAATTCCTTTGGATTTGCTGTTTCCCCACAGTCAGGGACAACTGAGAAAAAATTGGAACTAGAAATTGCTAGCAAGTACACAGAGCTCCCTACAGGCCCCGACCCTGGGAAGGCTCTATGTTCTCACTAAGGTAAAGGCTGAGACTTGGGTTCAGGTGACCTTCTCTGGGTTCCTGTGACAGCTCTTATCTGTCATTTCCAGGTTTCCCTCAGAGGTTCAGATCTGTTCTGAGGGGATTTTAAAGTGTCTGGATAGAGCTATGGAACTGGCTAGATTCTTCCTTTCTCTGTCTAGGGAATTCTTGAGTGCTGAATCTGGAGTGAGGGGATCCTAGTTGGAATCCCAGCTCCAATGCTTACTGCTCACACGTCCCTGGGCACCTCAGTTTCCTCATCAGTAAAATGAGGGGGATGGAATAGATGATTTCCAAGGCCCTCTCCTACCTATACCCCTTTGTCGATATCCTCTCCACCAGCAGCTACTGATAGTGTAGTAGACCCAACCCTGGCCTGGATGCCAATGAAAGGTCACCCAAAACAACTGAACTACCATATGGGACAAGAGGTTCAGGTTCTCAGTGACAAAGGAAACAAACAAAAAAATTATACAGCCACTAGAAAGAAACTGAGGGGTAAATACTTTAAATAATCCCTCCACCACCCTGATAAAGGTATTTTCAGATTGCTCCCATTTCTTCAACACTTTAGTATTTATGGGGCACTTTCTCCTCAACAATTCTGTGAAGTAATCGGTGAAAGTATGACCATCCCTGTTTTAAAGATGAGGAAACTGAGGCCTAGAGTCATTCAGGGGCTTGTCCAAAGGCAGCACACACTAGTTAAGTGTTACAGCCAGGGCTCAAACCCAGCTCCTCTGACTCCAAATCCTTTCTCTCTCCCCTTCCCCACCCCACACCCCAATATACTGATACTATAAATCTCCAGGAGCCCAATGTGAAGAATGAGTTAAACAGATTTGTTCACAGTTGTGTCCAAGCTGACTCTGAGGCAGAATTAGCTCAATTAGTTAGAATGCCTTCTTGAAGGAGTTAATAAAAGCATATTGGTGGAGAATAAGGAGTAGGGGGGAGAAGGCATTCCAGGCATGAGAATGACATGATCAAAGGTGTGGAGGAGGGAACTACAATGTCATACGTAGGGGAGAAGCAAACAGTTTCATTTGGCCATGTAGGGGAGAGAGAGGAGAGATGAGGTTGGAGAGGTATGGGGTGAATGGAGGAGGAGCGGCATTGGATGGAAAGCCTTGAAATTTGAGGCTGAGAAGTGAGTTGGATGACATCTATGCAAAACAATTTTATTTGCTTTTAGAAGAGCACTTGAATATTTCAGATTCCTGTTCAAAGCCACTGAACTGAATACTTAGTAATTTGGTTGCTTGAAACTTACCATCAATGCAGTCCACAGTAAGATCTTAAGACTTTTTTGGCCTTAGCAATAAGGTCACATAAACAAAGTACAAATGAGAATAGGATTCTTCATCTCCACCTACTCTGGCAAGAAGGAAACATACTCTACTTTCTACTGGCCTTGCTACCAAAAAAGGGACATTAAATTATTTTTTTTAAAAACTGTCATGAAGTCCATCTCCTTATATCTCTATAGCACAACTTCAGAGGCTAGGACGATGATAGCTCAACAACATGGCACAAGGACGTCTTGGGGTTAGAAAGGAGTTCAGGGGTCACCTAATTCAACCTCAAGATCTCTTCTATATCATCCTTAACAAGAGGTCTCTCCCAGACTCTGTTGCAAAACCTCCCAGATCATTCCCCAAAGGCACTCTGTTAGGCAACAAGTGTTATTAAGGACTTACTAATTATGTGTCAGCACTGTGCTAAGGTATCTGATGGCTAGAAAATTTTTCTCATATCAAGAAAAACAATCACATCACAAAGAAAAGATATGGGAAGATACTTTCCCTGCTCCGCTGCAGAGGATTGGGATGGGCATGGGTGTGAAGCATTGCATGTAACATCAGGCTTTTTTGATATGTTGATTGATTTTGAAGACTTGTTTCTTCTCTTTTTTCTCCTCTAGGGGGAAAATGTTAGAAGAGATAATTTGTTGAGAAAGGAAAAGGAGACCGACATAAGGAGAAAAGCAGATGATGTAAGAACAAAAGGTGCCAATAAATATCATACAGACGATAAACAGCTCCTCAACTTCCACCTATTATTACTACTCCAGAGTCTACTTTGGGGGGCCAAGTTGAACCAATATAATCCGTCTTCCTCATGACGCTCCTTAAGAGGCCTGGAGAGGGTTACGTCCCCGCCTGCGTCTTTCCTTTTCTAGGTTCAATATTCCCAACTACTTTAACTGCTCCCCATATGGCATGGTCCACAGGCTCCTCCCCATCCTGGTTGCCCTCTGTTGGATGCTGAAGAAAGGAAACAGGTCATTGCACTTGGCAGGAAAAATACTACAAGAAGGAAAGTGCCAAGAAACTTTAGGGGAATCAGATGGCTTCCATAAAGAGCTTATGGAACAAAAAGTGGTAGGAGCATTGCAATTAAGGTCAAACATCTGGAAATGCCTAAAATGGAACCATGTGGTCATGAATAGCTGAGACTTATAGCATTTGGTGGTTTAGAGAGTCACATAAATACCCTCTCATTTGATGCTCGCATCAACTCTGTGAGATACACCTGTAGACATTGTTTCCATTTTAGAGATAAGGAAACTGAGGTACACAGATGCAAGTGTAATTCAAAGATACATAGTAATTGGCAAAGTTCGGCATCAAACTCAGATCTTCTAACTTAATAGCTAGTGCTTTTCCCTCCATACTCTTCTAGCCCTTTTCTTCTGATTTGCACCTGGAATATGACCCAAATGTTGCAATATTGCTCCTTTCTAATTTTTAACTTGATTATTGAACTTTCTCCTTTTCCATCTTCCTCTCTAATTCCTTCCCTCAGACATATGGCACAACAGGAAGTGAGCATTGACAGCAATAAAAGTAATAATGTGGGAGAGAAGAGTAAGAAACACGAGGGAAGAATTGCTAAATGCAGGTGCTATGAATTCATCTTTCCAAGCCTAAGGGACTGAGTTAGAAAAAAGTTCCCAAGCCATTCCAAGATCATCCCCTAGTATCCCATTGTGTGACACAGTCACTTAATCACTCAGCCTCAGTTTCCTCATCTGTAAAATAGTAGCATCTACCTCACAAAGTTGTTGTGAGAAACAAACGAAATAATGCCCATAAAGCACTTTGAAAATTTTCAAGGGCTATATAAATGTTAATCTATCATTATTGATGTTATTATTAATTATTATATTGGTGCCAGGGTATTTTACATGGATCACCCACACTTGATGACAACAAGCCCCAAGAACCTCAAAACACCTGCTTCTTTTTGGCAGCAGAGAAAGCACCCAACACAGAGAGATGACCCCATCGTTCACGGACGACAACAACTCTGTGGGCTTAAGAAGCAGGTAGAACAGCTGCTGGGCGTGTGAATCAGCTTTCCTGACACCTCCCACAAGCATTCAAAGATTATTATGTGAGGGAGTCAGACACCTGCCATCATTATTGTCATTATAACCTTTTTTTTTAACTTGTCTATCACTTTACAGCTGATTCCCACACTTTACTAACACTGAACTCTACAGAACCCCAGTGAGGTTAGAAGACTTACTGTGCATGCCTCACCTCTCCAGCGCATCTTGTAAGAAACAACATAATCAGCAAACTCAAATCCTCCACCAGAGCATGGAGGGGGTGACCTTGAGTGAGGCCATTCTGGTGAAAGATAAGTTCTGGCAGGTTCTGCTCTGGGAAAAGGCTTCAAGGACAAGTCTGCCATCCAAGGAGCAGCCACCAAGGGGAAAGACTTCAAAGAGTCTTTGCCCTCTAAGGACCATCCTGCTGAGCTCAGAGAGGTTCATCACCAGAGGGCCAGCTACCAAGAGGTCCATCAGTTGTTCAGGCCAGAGCAGCTCATGAGGAACATCTACTAAGGCCTGTCATTTGTAGCCCTGACACCATCCTGAGTCCCTAAGTTCTTTTCTGCTTTAGTAATAAGCCTCTCCCTAAAGCACAAATGAGGCCCAGAGAGCTCAGCCCCTCAGCTCCCATAACTTCTATATTAGACAAAACGCACAAGGTGAGCCTGATATTTTCACTGGCTCCAGATGAAAGGGACCTGGTTCATCTTTCCATCTGTTTCCCATTCCTCCATCTAGTCAAGTTGATGGAACTTGAAGTCCTGCCAGCTGTTTCTAGAGGTAAAGATCCCAAAGGAATCTCTTGGGACAATTGGCCAGACCCGAGTGGGGAAGCCTGAGGTTTGAACAGGGCCTGGAAGTGAGCTGCTATCGGACTCAGTCTTGGTGAGTTGGCCTCCATGCTGGCAGATAATGAGTTTGAAAACATTTATTGGCAAGAGTCAGCTCAGCGTAATGGATAGAGTGCTGGACCTGGAGTCAGGAAGATTGCGTTCCAATCTGAAAACATTTACTAGCTGGGTGACCCTGGGCAAATCATAGGATTTCTTTGGGCCTCATTTTCCTCAGCTTTGAAATGAAAGATCTGGCCTGGTAATCTCTAAAGTACTCCTATCTCTAAATTTCTGAGCCCTACTGGTTGTTGCTGTTTTTTTTAAAGATCATTTTTATTTCTGAATATAAACCTTTCCCTTCTCCTCTTCTCTCCTCCCCAGTGAACCATCCCTTCTCCTCTTCTCTCCTCCCCAGTGAACCATCCCTTCTCCTCTTCTCTCCTCCCCAGTGAACCATCCCTTCTCCTCTTCTCTCCTCCCCAGTGAACCATCCCTTCTCCTCTTCTCTCCTCCCCAGTGAACCATCTCTTATAACAAAGAGTAGAAATGAGGGAGAAGAAAATCAGTTTAGCAGAACCTATCAACCAAGTTGGTTAGTACTCAGTCAGTACTTATCAAGCCCCTGAGGTGTGCCAGGCACGGTGCTAAGCACTCCACACTTATAGCTTCCCACCAGTGCAAAGCAGACAAGGACAGGGCTTTCCTCATCTTTTCTGTGGGGTCCAGAGCAGATGATTACTCTCAAAGGAACTGAGTTGCTCCTTTGTGCCTTGAGCCGAGTGAATATGTTGAAGTAAAAAGGGGGCTGGGAAACCTGTCAAGAGGCATCTGCCCAACCCTCCTGAGATACCAAGTGGGCGAAAAAGCATTTAGTGTTACCTGACTAGCACCAATGAGGTCAGAACCACTTAAACTGGTAACTCTGGCTCTGAAGCCCAGCTGGTGGGGCCACTTACCCAACGATAATTGATCGTCTGTCCTCTGTGGCAGAGGAGCCATGCCAGGGCAGTCAGTCCGCAGCGAGGTCAGCCTAAGCACTCCTCGTAAACTGTACTTTGCACAAAATAAGCCTATTATGTCATCAACTCGACAGTCACTGTTCTAACTGCATGCCTAGGTTAGAATGATATAAAAGAACAACACTTGTGTTTCTGTGGGTACTGACCTCCTTAGTCCCATGGAGAAACTCAGGGTACAAAAATGCTACTGCCCTTTGTCTTCATAAATGTCCTCAGCAGGACCCTTGGAAGCTTTTCTGTCTTTTGATTAACAAGAGACCTAAATTAAGGGGCAGCTAAAGAAGCAACGTGGTATAAATGTGGTATAGGATAAAACAGAGGTCAGAAGGCCTGAGTTCAAATGTCATCTCTCTGAGAGCTCTGTGTGATCCTGAGCAATTTATTGGCCTCTATGTACCTCAGTTTCTTCACTTGTAAAAATAGGTGTGCTACTACTTGGATTTCCTGAACTTTACTGGGTTGTTGTGAGGAAAGAACTTAGCAAACTTCAAAGTGTTATAGAAATATGACTTATTTTAAGTTGCTCTGCTTAACTGAGGATGGTGCAGTAGATAGAGCACTAGCCTGGAATCAGGAAGACCCAAGTTTAAATCTGACCTCAGATACTTACTAGCTGTGTTACCCTGGACAAGTCATTGTTTGCTTCAGTTTCCTCATCTGTAAAATCAACTGGAGAAGGAAATGGCAAAACATTCCAGTATCTTTGTCAAGAAAACCCCAAATGGGGTCAGGAAGAGTCAGACAGGACTGAGAAACAACTGGACAAATTAACTGGGGGTGGGGAATGTATTTTTATAATAGTTTTGTGTGTTATATTAAAATAAAGATAATCACATAATTTTTAGTGATTAAAATTTTTTCTCTCAAAAATTTTTTTAAATATTTTTTAAAATTTTCAAATTCAAATTCTCTCCCTTCCTCCAGCCTCAATCCTGCCCCCCGCCATGGAATTTTTAAAGGTAAGCTATTATTATTACTCCACACTCTACCTGTTTCTCTCATCTTCCCCACCACTACCTTTTTTGCATATATTATAGTAAAGAGCTTTAAGAACGTGAACTAAAAACATCATCTGATGGTCTGGATCCTTCATCAAAATATAACTGTTTTATAAACCATTCCCTCAAGGTCCTTCCTGGGAACCAGCTGTGATCTTGGTCTGCATTGAGAAAAAGAGAGCTTCCTAAATTGATTAAAGAAATGCAAATTAAAACAACTCTGGGGTACCACCTCACACCTATCAGATTGGATAATATGACAAAAAAAGGAAAATGATAAATGTTGGAGAACATGGGAAAATTGGAACACTATTGCATTGTTGGTGGCTTTGTGAATGGATTCAACCATTCTGTAGGACAATTTGGAACTATGCCCAGAGGGCTATAAAGCTGTGCATACCCTTCGATCCAGCAAAACTATTACTAGATCTGTATCCTAAAGATCATAAAAAAGGGAAAAGGACCCACATGTACAAAAATATTCATAGCAGCTCTTTTTGTGATGGCAAAGAATTGGAAATTGAGGGGATGCCCATCAATTGCAAAATGGCTGAACAAGTTGTTTTTATATAAATGTAATGGAATATTATTGTGCTATAAGAAATGATGAGCAGGCAGACTTCAGAAAAACCTGGAAAGACTTACAGGAGCTAATGCTGAGTGAAGTGAGCAGAATCAGGAGAACATTGTACACGGTAACAGCAACATTGTGCAATGATCAACTTTGATAGACGTAGCTCTTCTCGGCAATACAACAATCTAAGACAATTCCAAAAGACTCATGATAGAAAATGCTATCCACATCCAGAGAAAGAACTATGGAGTTGGAATGCAGAGTGAGGCATACTATTTTCTCTTTTTTTCCTTTCTCATGGTTTTTCCCTTTTGTTCTTATTCTTCTTTCACAACATGACTAATGTGGAAATAAATTTAATATAATTGTACATGTATAGCCTATATCATATTGCTTGCTGTCTTGGGGAAGGGGGAGGGAGGAAGAAAAAAATTTGGAACTCAGAATCTTATAAAAGTGAATGTTGAAAACTATTTTTACACGTAATTCAAAAAAATAAAATACTATTAAGTGGAAAAAATAAAAGAAAATTATAAAAGAAAAAGAGAGCTTCAAGGAATGACTATCCTGCTATCCCCTGCCCTCAGAAGCCCACATCATTCACTTCTGGCAGTATGTTTTAGGATGGATGTTGATAAAGCTGAAGAGAGGTCAACTATAATGGGGAAGGGCCACTGGCTCATGCCAGAAGAGGGTCAGCTGAAGGAACTAGGGCTGTTGAGCCTGGGGAAAAGAAGACCTAGAGGAAACAGGAGAACTGTCTTCAGATAGTAGAAGGACTGCCATGTGGAAGAAAGATTAGACTGTTTCTTTTTTACCTCAAATGACAAAACTAGGAGCAGTAGGTAGAAGTTGCTAAGAGGCAAAATGTAGGCTTTATTGGGGGGGGGGAGAACCTAAGAATAAAAAGCATCTAAGAGCAGGACTCAGCAGGCTGTTTTCCTCTTATTGGAGGTCTTAAGGCAAGGGCCTGATGATTGGCCACTGGTTCATTCTCGAAGAGGACCAATGATATCAGAAGGGTGACGTCTTGACTTGAAAATGAAATGGATTTAAGTGAGGTAGAGCTGTGCAAGGTCATCAGCCTCATTGTCTCCTCCACAGTCAATAGAGTCCAGCAGGCAAGACATAGGCCAAGATGACTAGCAATAGCTCCAGATGCAGTGGGAGACCCTGGCTTTTTTAAGCTGGGGTCTTTACCAGGACCACTGGTTAAGCATATGGTAGAGTGGATTCCTTTTCAGCTATCCGCTGAACTAACCATTTAATTCCCTTCTAGCTCTGAAATTCTGTGGTCTGTGCTTATTATTAATGGATGCTTAAGGATTAATGTGTTGTCTTTCCAAGATAACCTCTTGGCATTTTAATGCAATCAAAACTGAGAACAAAAAAAATGGTGGCATTTTCTTAACTTAAAGGAGTTGTTTCAACAATGGCAATTCCAGACCCTGTGTAAGGAAAGGAAAAATAATGGAAGAAGAAGCTTTTAGGACATCTCAAATCAAGCAACAAAAAACTGTGAAGGGAGACGATAACATGGCTTTACATGGCAGCACACAGTGGTACTGAGAGAGGGTCCCATATGGCCACCAGATAGAAGACTCTCAGTCTCCATGCCTGTGCTTTCACTTTGGCACATCTTTGGAATATCTTCCCCCTTCACTCTGGAGTTCCTCCCCATCGTTTAAAGCTTACCTCAAATGTAACTGTTTCCACAAAGCTTTTCCTGATCTCCTGTAAAAATAAATGACCTTTTACCCACATCACAACCCTTTGTGTTACACTTTTTAATGTGCTTGTCAGATAAAGTTGTGTATTATTGCTGCATTTGCCTTATACCCAGAGCTCAAGGGAAGAAGTATCCTAATTAAACTTTGTATTTCCCTTAGCACCTGGCATAGTACCGGGGACAAAGAAGGTTGCTTCATAAATGTTTGACAAATAAATGAACAGGTCTAAAAACCTCAAAGGCCTGAAATTTTTCATGTGAAAGAGATGAGGTTAAAAAAACAAACCTCTCATTCATCACTGTCGCTCACAAGCCCAGCTACTTCCAACAACAGCCACTGCACTGTTCTCTGCATTCCCAATCACAAATAAATGGCTCTGTTGGCCCTGGCCCTTGGCAGATGACTCAAGCACACAAAGGTAAAAAGATGCAGGTTATCCAAGGTTATAAAAAAGGAGTGGGATTGACCATACGGGAAAGGTTGTCTATGCTGCTTTCAGTACCGAGGAGGATGAGTAACCAGGATGTGGTGCTTTTGTCAAGCCTCAGGTTTGGTTCCCAGTCATGGAAATCTCCTTTGGGAGACAGTATAATCCAGTCGTGTAACACTCAACTAGAAAGGGATTCCTGCTGGCCGCGTGCCGATTTAAAAAACCACAAAGTAACATTATCTGTGTTGCACTGTCTTTTATTTATTTTGTAAGCATTTCCCAATTACATTTTAATCTGGTTCTGGCCCTACTTGGGAGTTTGATACCTCTGGCGTAGTGGACAGTGCCCTAGATTTGAAGTCTAGAAGAGCTGGGTTCCAATGTTGCTTCAGATACTTACTAGCCGTGTGACCCTAAGCATGTCAGTTAACCTCCCTGGGCCTGAGTGTCCTCATCTGCCAAATGAAAGAGCTGACCTTGATGACCTTGAAGGTCCTTTCCAGCTTTAAATCTATGACCCTATAAGAATTCCCTTTCAGAGAAGACCCTGGCAAAGTTGTGCCACGGGAGAGGAGGGCAGTTAATACTTTATGTCTGACTTTACAAGCTACCAAGTGTCACAAATCAATTTCATAGCCATCATTTCATGCAGGATAGGTATAGAATCAGAACGTCAAAGTTATAAAACTGAGGCCTAAAGAGGCCTACTTTGTCCATAATTGCATGGCCAGGTAAGTGGTAGAACCAAGACTAGCTTATCAGCTTTCCAACCTGATGCAGTCCCTGGACAATCCCGACTCCTCTCTGCTACCCAGGGTCAGCAGGCCTGGGAACAGGAACAGCCCGACAGTGAAGATAAGCTCTCCCTCTGGAGAATGAGGGGCCATTATGCTCTGAAGTAAGTGAATAAGCTCTAGGTCATTCATTGTTCCTTTCCTGTGCCAAAATTCTCACGGGCTGGTTTCTATAAGTGTTAATCAAAACTAGTGTAAATTCTCTTTTTCTGGGAACATAAGAGTTGGAATTCCAAAATGTGAGATGAGACTAAGGATCATAGTATAATAGGGAAAGAGCCCTTACAGCTCAGACGACTTGGGTTCTAATCCTGGCTTTGCCATTTGTTATGTGACCTTGGGCAAGTCACAACCTCTGGGGGCCTCAGTTTCTGTTTCTAAAATAAGGGGTGAGATCATCTCTAATGTCTGCCTTGTGAATTATACCTTGAATTATACCATGCCAGTCATTTCTCATTAAATGGGTTGCGTGTGTGCATATGTGTATGTATATACAAGCCACTGGGAAATTTAAAAAAAAGAAAAAGAAATAAGAAACAACACAAATCACAAGGAAAAAACCCAAAGAAATCATGAAAATTTGAACAAAACACAGTAACACAAACAATATGAGAATGATGGCAAAGGTTGTACCCTGTGATTGGCTGCTTGGTCATAAATCCCTAAAAGATGTGGGCAATGAGACTCCAACTAAGTTCTAGGTCGGGAATCTCAGCTCGCAATCTGTAACCTCCTGTTTCTAATTCCATTTTAGATGAGGAGTTTTATGTGACCGTGATTAGACAATTCAAATGGAATTTGGAGTTAGGCACATCCTAATGAGTTTACTAGGAGATTATGAAGGCGATGAATAATTCTAGGAACTGAGTATGGATTCACCCTGCGTCAAACCCTGCCAGGAAGCAGAGGCTTACTACTAACTAAGAAATGAGAACATTCAAACAGGAAAGAGAGTTCAAGGGGAAAAGGCTTTGATGTGAAAGCTGAGTGTTATGTGCCTGGAACTTCCCCTTCCAAGAAGAACTTATTCTTTCACATAGGATCAAATATTCACTGATTCCAGGAAAAAGCTCTTGTGTAAAATGTGAGGAAACAGGCTAAGCGGGCAAATTTTATACATTTTCTAGGGAGGCCCAGAAACAAACACCAAAGCATCTATGCTGCATAGTTACTAAATACAATGGAAGGTTAGCTCAGACAAAGACAAACATACCAATATACCAGAGGCTCAGAGAGGGAATAAGAAAGACTGCAATGTTTCTCGTGCATTTGAAAAAAAGAAAAACAGACAGCGTAGGGTTCTCACCAATGTAGGATCAGAAAAGGGCTGCTGGCATGCCACTCACCTCCCACCTCCTTTGACCCCCCAAAACATGATTCCCCGTCAAGGAAACTTTACTTACACTTCAGTGGCTATGAATCCAGTGAGCTCCGAGAGGAAGAGGAACAGAATAAAGAGGCAACAGCAGACAGAGACTAGAATAAACAACATTGATGAGAAAAGGAATTAGGGATTTTAGGATCACAGGCGATAATAGTTTAGTAATTTCATTTTTAAAGGCACGGCATAAATGCCTGACTTGGTCCTTTCCCCTTTACTTCAGCTTTTCCTTTTATTCAAAGAGTTTAGGTAGATACTCTCATTATTACCTACAAGATTAGTTCAGGGGCAAAAGCCTATCCCTCTTTCTCCCCATAGGGATAAATAATAATAATTTAAAAAAAAACCAATTCCATTTTGTATGGTGCTTTAAGGTTTACAAAGAGCTTTCCACATGACAATCTTGGAGGGCAGGCATTGCAGTATCATCAGCTCTTCTTTACAGATAAGAAATCTGAAGCTCAGAAAAGGAAAGTGACTTGCCCAAGGTCACATAGCCAGTAAAAGCTGGAACTTGGATTTGAACTTTGGACTCCTGAGTCCAAGTGAAGTGATCTTCCACCTCCCTTTCCCAGGAGGAAGCTACAGTTGGAAGAAGCTACCTTTGTCCATGCTAGTTCCCTTCCTTAGAATAGCCACCTAGCGTTCCTAACTCTTTCCCATGGTGGGAAAAATATTCCCTACATGTGTCAATTCAAGATATATATGCTTCTATTCTATTCTATTCTTCACAGCCTGCCTCGTGTCATCTTCTCCACAAAGTCATCCCCAACTATTCAGGCTCAGACTAACTTCTCTTTTCTCTGAACTCCTACAGATCATAGCAACCATGCCACTCACTTAGGGGGTTAATAGTAATATCTAATAATAATAGCTAACATTTATATAGTGCTTACTATGTGCCAGTGCTTTACAATTATTATCTCATTTGATCCTCACAACAACCCAGAAAAATAGGTGCTATTAGATAAGGAAACAGAGGTTAAGTGACTTGCCCAGAGTCACACAGTCTATATATGTCAGAGCTAGGAATTGAACCCGAGTCTTTCTGACTTCAAGGTTGACCCTCTATCCATTTACACCATACGTACTTCCTCTCAAACAATGCATTGCGGGGTCACGTGTCCTCTGAGAAGCTCAGTAGCACATGGATCCTCTGACATCCACATCCACAGCCAGTTCAGGTTTCAGAGGTAGCTCCTGCCCTGTTGTCTTTCTTTCTCCAAGGTGGAGCACATCATTTTGCCTTTAACGTTCCTACCAAAGAACGGTGTTGTTGTGGTTCAGCTCTCTGTCTGAGCACCTCCCCCGTGTCCTGCAATGGGCTAGACTATGCTGTGGGCAGTACTGGCTTGGAAAACAGAGAGCTCACATGCTAGTTATAGAGACGAGACTAACACAGAAACAGGTAGGGGACAGTGGAAGGAAGTATGCAAGGATAGAGTGCTGGGCCTGGAGTCAAGAAGACCTGAGTTCAAATTTGGCCTTAGACACTTACTAGCTGTGCCTCGGTTTCCTCATCTGTTAAAAATGGGGATAATAACGGCACCTACCTCCCAGAGCTGTCGTGAGGATCGAATGAGATAATTGTAACGAGCTCAGCATGATGCCTGGCACACAGTAAGCACTATATAAATGTTAGCTATTGTTATTGCTTAGCTCTTCCATGTTCCAGGCCACTTTCTAAGACTAAGTTGCAGAACAAATGCCGGCTGGTTTGGGTCGAGAGAATTTCCTCACTTAGGAGTTATCTTTACCAATTCAATAGGAGTTCTGGTCCAATAACAACAACAACACTACTATTATTACCTTATACTTTAATAACACTGAAAGGGTTTCTAAAACACTCCTCAAAACCTACCCAGGGAGGTAGGTACTGCAAATAGTATTATCCTCATCTGAAATTAAGCAGGAAAGAGTGATGTGCACATTGGTCACACAGCTAGAAAATGACAGCACTGGGACTGAGCCCAGGGCCCTCTTGATTCTAAGTCGAGATTCTTCTAACATCCCACATCCCCACTCTTGTCCATGAGTCCTTAACATGTGTAGGGGTGTGTGTGTGTGTGCGCGTGTGTGTGTGTGTGTGTGTGTGATGGACTGTTTTTGATAAGCTGGTGAAGCCTATGGGCCCCTTCTCAGAATAATGCTTCTAAATACATGAAAAGGAAACCAATTGTATAGAAATAATTATCAATATTTTTAAAAGCAAGTTTATGAAGCCCAGGCTAAGAATTCCTACTTTAAGCTGAATCACCCACTAAAATGTGAGTTCTCCATAGGATAAGGAGATCGAGAATAAGATCAGCTGGACATAACGCCACTGACTCATTCAGGCAATTGGCATTTATTGAGAACAGCCCTATTAGGTACCTTGGGGAGAGTGGGAGGAGATAAAAGAGAAACTGAAGTGATAGATGCTACCCTTGAGGAGTTTTCGAGGTGTTGTATACTCTACCCACAACTAGCTAAGGACAGACAATAGAAAGCAATACCTGCCCCACCCTATACTCTCCCTGATATGATATAATATGGTGTACACAGAGGTGAGTCAGAGACGTTCCGGTGTACGAGGTTCTTCGATGGACTTTTTAAATTCAGAGACTGTCATGGATTGGCACTTAACTGTTGAGGGAAAGGGCTATTATCTAACAACAAAAAAACTTATCCTACCTGTTCATTCCTCAATATTCTATGCAGTGTCCAACCAGGCCTGGTATATTCTATCCTACCACATCACTCAGGCCTACTCTCTCTTCAGTAGCAATGTAAATACGAAGGTCAACAAAATACCAAGACACTTTGGCAATCTGGTCTTCCTCTTGGTGTTCAGGCCAGTTCAAATGTGGCATTTATACACAAACGGGTGCTAAGGAAAATGGGAAGTGAAAGAAAGAACTACCAAATGAGGATGGGGAGTATCCCTAAATTCTTGCCAAGTCTTCTTTGCCTGGCAGTTAAGACACATTGACATTTGGTCCAATTTTACCTTTCCAATCTTATCTTCCACTACTCCCCTTCAGTCACTCTAGACTTCAGTCACATTGGATTGTTTGCTGTTTCCCAAATGTGTTAAAAGAGCTCCTGCCACCCTGCCTTTGTTGACTGGTCCCTTTGCCTAGAATGCCCTCATCTCTCCTTTAATTTCCTTGGTCCTATCTATCCTTTAAGGTCCAGCTCAAATGCTACTTTGTCTGTAATGCCTGCCCTGATTCTCCCCCAGTGGAAAGTAATCTCTTGCTCCTTTGAACTCTCAACTCAGTACCTCTGATATAGCACCTTCACATTCTATCTTGTTCTAACATTATGTATGTATGTGTTTTATCTCCATCACTAGACTGTGGCTCCATGGCTCATTCCTACTTGTACCCCTCAATGAATAGCAGAGTCCCTTGCCATGGCAGGAGCATAATCATTTTTTAAGTCAAATAGAATGCATGAATGTATAAACAAACAAGAGCTTGGAGGCTGACATACAAACTGAAACTGCTTCAGTTATAATGACTTGGGAAAGACTTCATGGATTGGGGGTTTAATTTCAAACTTCTTTCTGTTTTGGTTTATAACCTGATTTGCTAGACACAGCTAATTTTTAAAAAATAAAACAAAGTACTAAAACCTTCTATGTTTCCCCCCTTACAACCTGGTTGTTCTGCCTTGTGAAAAATAAATTGAATTGAACATTTTCACCTTTATTGAGAAATAGCATGGCATAATGAAAACAGCCCTGAACTTGAATCCAGGTCTTCTGAGTCTTGGTTCTGCCACTTATTAGCTATATTATAGTGAACAAGGCACTTGATGCTCTTTGGGTTTCAACTTACTCATTTGTAACATGGGGATAAAGCTTACACACATACACATGTATGGGGAAAGTACTTCGTAAAGTGTAAAATTAAATGAGTTATTAATAGTAACAAAATTAATAATCTCGCTTTAAGTGTGCAAAACAGCAAGTCACATCAAATTCTTAAAAAGATATTTGATTTGGTAAAATAGTTATACTCTCAAAATAAAGGCATGTTTTATTTAGAGAGAATGAAGATGATAATAAGTTGCTTTTCCTAGTGTATTCTCTCCCCTGTCTACATACCCATCCTAAGCTCTTAACTATATTCAAATTGGGAAAAAGGAGCAGGATAGGGAAAAAGTCCTCTAATGGTAATGTGAGTGTTCTGTCCAGGGAATGTTGCCTGTCCTAGATAATTCCAGCAGTAGTTTTTGTAAAATACAGTCAGTGTAACCATGAACCAATAGTCTCAAATAAGGAGGTAGTGAGTACTTTCAACTAAAAGGTCTTCTGATGCCTAAGGCTTTTACCAAAGCTTTCTCAATCCATTTTTGGTCAAAAATCTAGTGATCTATGACTGGCCTCCCAGAGTCAGAGACTGACTCAGATTCCATTCAGGGATGGTTACCACTAGGGGAAGTTACATCAGGAGAATGGCTGATGATGCCATGGGCTGGAGCCCAATGGAAGGGCTCTGGGGCTGGCTCATGGCAATCCAGAACAGGAAAGCCTCATTAGATATTTCCTTACAGATATGTTCTAATCAAGCTCAGTTGGGTGTATACCTGTGTTGGTATAACTCCTGTATTCCTCTTGAACTGAGTTGACAGTCAAACAATCGCTCAGTTCTCTGAGCTCTGACCCTCTGGAGTTAGTCTACAGAATCTCATAGAATCAAAGACCATTATTAGAGATGGAAAAAACCCTCAGTTGCCATCCAGTCCAATGCCCTTATTTCACAAATGAGGAAACTGAGGCACAGCAGGAAGTGAATTGCCAAGGTCATAACATGTGTGTGGTCTCAAAACCCATTTCTCTGAAAAAATTCAGTGTCCTTTCCATTATTCTGTTCTTGGACTCTTTCAAGCCAGTAAGAGTGGACACGTTTGCAGCATTTTAAGGGGTTATACTAGAACAGCTGTGTGTTTTAAACCTGGGGTCCATGAGCTTCTATATTTCAACATAATAGGTTTTCTTTGCAATCCTAGGTATTCCATTTAATGCATTTAAAACCACTATTCTGAGAAAAGATCCATAGGCTTCATCAGACTGCCAAACGGGTCCTAACAGATGACAGGTATGTTA